GGTTGCAAGAACCAAACAATTTTCGCCAAAAGCACAAGTATCTGCGTGTGAGTCAAGCTCACATTGGGGCAAGGAGTGGGAAAGGGACATTAAAACACGAACACGAGAGGAAAGGGAACAAGTAACAGAATCTGATAGTTGGCCTCATGTCAGCGACGGCCACGTCGAACTCCACTACCAACGTTGCCAGAAGAGGGTGCTGGAGCTGGTGAAGGTGCGGGTTCTTCACTTTGTTGGCGTTCACGATTTTGTTCACGCAAAGAGTTCAATTCTGCAATGTCACGTTCACTCATAAGACGACTGTTAGCACGTTCACGGGCTTGAAGGACAACACGGCGATCACGATCAGAAAAACGGCTCCAAGTGTCTTGGGAGTATCCACCGTTGTTGAGGATGGTCGTGCCATCATCGGACCATACAGTACCATCGTGGTCTCGACTACCACCTCGTCCGCGACCCCCGCCACGTCCATGTTGATTACGATTACGATTACGGCCACCACGATCACTACCACCATTATCACGATCACGACCACGGCCACGTCCGCGATTGGAGTTTCGTCCCCCACCATCGACCGCAGCTAAGGCTCTTGTGCCGCTGATCGCAGTTAAGCGATGAGTTTGCTGGGCCGTATCTTCAGTCTGCAAAGTGTTGATAGCGGTGCGCAGGTTTTGCATACATGCTTGACTTCCTCGGACAAGTGTCTTACAGGCGTCCAAGCCTGCGCCCTGCGGGCCTTCTTTGCGTCCAAGCCTGCGCCCTGCGGGCCTTCTTTGATCATGCTCAAGAACTTGGTTACCTTGGCATGTTCCGACATGCCATCGCCACAATTTTTCAAGTCTTCAAAGGCACCAAGAACCCGTGCCGCAAATTTTTCAAAACTAAAATTCTTCTTTCCATTGTAGTGGGTTGTATTCAAGACACGGTAGGCAGAGTCGCGCCTCTTATTGAGTTGGCCCTCACCCTGATAGTGGGCAACCAGATCAAGATACGCTTGCCTTCCATTTTCTGTAGTCTTGTATCCTTTGATAACAGGCCAAGCATCAGTTCCATGGCAGACTGAATATAACATATTCCACACAGCTTTGTTATTAGCGACAAACTGGTCCTCTCGATGCAAGCTCCGGCGAATTGCCTCATCTTCCACACATGGCATAAGGAAACCAGGATCAGCTGTTGGATTGTCGTCCGGATTTTGATGCTCACGGATTACATATGTTAACAAAGTGCCACCTTTTCCGCGTGCGCTTCAACCACTGTTCCAAGCTCTCCATCAGTTCGACCGTATTTTTATTATCAAATTTGGGAGGCATAACCTCTGAAATATCTTCAAATTCGTTCGACTTGTTCTTCAAGTGGAAATAATAGCGATTGCTTTTTGCCAAATTCGCTTGCGTCCCAAAAGCTGGATCATGTTGGCGATCCACCATATAAATAAATCGGCAATAGTCGCAAAGGTCGTAGAGCATGATTTTCTGGGCTTAGTTGATTGAAAACGTAGTGTCAAGATCATTTCCTGGATCAATCACAGTGCGATTGATCTGTTTCACCAAGGAATCAATATTTTCGCGCGTCGAGCGGGCAAAGAAAGCAGGGGAACTGAAGCCCTGTTCAATAACAATCTCTTGTGCCTCATCCTGAGAGAAATCGAGAACATCTCGAATGTAGTTTCTCCATGCGATTCTTGCAGCGGCCATCGTTCAATGTCTTTCGTGTTGTTGTGAAAATAACACGGCACAAATTTCAATATTTTCGTTTCGCCAGTTGTTTTCAGTTTCTGATCGGAGTCGTATAATGCAAGTTCGCACAACTACGTCAGTGTGAGATCTTAATTAAAAGAATCGCACGACAAATAATTATATATGGAGTATCGAGCGAGATATCCTGGGTACGTCTACCTGTGTGGCAAATTACTCGCAACCAAACGGTTTAAACGGTAACAAGTGGCTGTCTTCAGTCAACGCTCGAGACTGAAATGTAGCGACGTGAAAACCACGGATCCTTTGACAATGGGCGATCCAACCTTTGCCGGTCGTCCACAAACTTTGGAGACCAGATATTATTTCAAAAAGCGTTCTCAAGCTTCAGCTCACAACAAAGAGCTTTCTGGGTCTGATAAACCGTTACAATGCGCTGCTAGTCAGCCAAAACAGATCAATTACTGGACAAAATATAGACAAGGAAAACTTGTGACTACCAGATCCTTTCAGACTACAAAACTACACGTACGGAGGACAGACCACGTACTTCCCAAAATAATGCTTTTCGTCTGTCATGCGATGTATGTACACAGTGGTTTGAGTCGGGATTTGGTTGGGTACTTATATAGTGTCAAAATGCATCCAATTGCATTTTCTAAAACTCAAATAAAAATTGTAATTCATAGTCGGATGAATCAAACACTTGGTTCAAATATAACGGTATCTTCGGTTCCCGCGAAATCTCGAATTTTTTTAAACCAAACTTCGAACCGGGAAAATGAAAGCAACTTTGTATTGCAAATTGATGAGATGGGAAGCTTAAATCAAGCTGTAGACTTGCCCATTAGTATTTTATAGCTCAAACGAAACGAATTCATTATGTCAACGATTGAAGTTGACTGCATAGCATATGATGGTGCTGAGGGCGGAACAGTCATGGTGACACCAGATGCTGGGAAAATACCGCATGTCGACACAAGATTTTGCAATACGGAACACGAAGGAGCTCCATTACCCCAAGTGACGCCGAGTGAAGATACAATCTCATCCAGCACTAGCTTCAAAAAGCCCACTGATGATCATACAAACTTTGCTAAAGCAATCTTGGATTCATTGAGATGGAGCCCAAATGGAAGGACAAAAACAGCTCATCCTTTCGTGTCTCACTTACTCTACCAATACAAAGAGCAGTCCTTAAAAGAGATGATTTGTCGCACATTCCCCAATCTAAAGGATCTAGTGCATATCAAGGAGATTGGAGACTACCCACTTTGCATACGCCTCTTCCTTTGTGCACTTGGTTTTTTGTTGTGTGGTCTGCCATACGAATACGCTGTAGATCCATGGGACCTTCTGGCAACAACTTTTTGCCACGATTGCTCTTGCAAGGAAATGAAGGATGCTTGTACTCAAGCAATCGAAGACTTCCTATTCCATCACACACCGGAGAGCAGGGGCATTGAAACAACCGAACCTATGCGCACCTTCATTGAAAAGTGTACATTGTCAGCGAATTGGAAGCCAAAAAGCAAGACGGAATCTGACCCCTTGCACTTGCCACAATATCTGAAGGAAACTTACAGCAAGAAATATCCGTTTTTCAGCTTGGTCTTTGGACAAAAACCAAAGCCGGCTGCGTGGGATATAGATATGAAGATGTTCCTATTTGCAATCGCTGCATTGACTACACAACGACCCGAGATAAATAGAGACTTCTTCCTCGAAATAGTGGCAGGCTGCTCACGCAGCCAGCACAAAGTACTCCATCCTGACATCCTTCTGAGAGCTGTCAACCCCGAGAACCTTCTAGAAGCCATCGCAAATATCGAGCTAATCGACGACTCTGCAAAAGGAAGCGGCGAATTGTTGATTGAAGCCAAGATAGACGACACTCTCCCGAAAGCAATCCCAAATCTTATCCCAGTCATCGACTCTGACAGCGGCGACTCGTGGATCAAAACCAATATACCTAGACTGGCAGACGAACCTCTCTACAAAGTGGATAATTCGTCAGAAGAAACCATGCACCAGGAAGACGAACTCGTTATGGAAATCTTGTACAAGAGACTCGCAATGGACAAGAGTGATAGGAGTTATGAAATGAATCGACTCTTCCATTGTATTGCCAATCGCACCTTGGAGGAATCAAGGGTGAGGACGACGGTCTCGGAGGAATCAACGACATCACAATACATCTCAAAAGTGAGCTTCAGATCACCAAGGAATCAGATGATTGAAAAGTATTACGCCTTGCTTCCTCAGCCAAAAGTAGACTTCACTGCTCTGACACAAAATGCCAAGAAGAAAAAGGCAAATCTGATGAAGGAAATTATTGCTCAATTGGTGGGTCCAGATCTTGCTCAACAAGAAGCATTTCTGAAGCTTTCATTCAAAAAGTTCAAAGACCTTATACTTTTCCACGAGGAAGACTTCAAGTGGAACGAAATGCACATTGCTTTAATACTTTGTATTGTGGGCAGTGCCAACAAGGTGATTATGCTTGATCGATTGGAACGTCTTCTCCTTGGAAATACAAGATTCCCGCCTCAACTGAAGGTGTTTCTGTCAAAGCTTGGGTGGAAGTGGAGAATGCGCATTGAGGCTGAGATGATACCCCTTGAGATGAATGGCAACAAAGAAGTGAGGCCCCAACTCTCTTGGCACCTAGCAACGCCACTCCGGGCTCTGGAGCGGCAGGTGGAGGCAGCATTTCTGTCTGGCAATTTCTTGCATTCAGGCGACTTTTCGTTGATGGAGGACATAATCGCTGTTGTGTTCGGCGCTGACAAAGATGAAATTGCAACATCGATGCTAATTCGAATCTTGAACCGAGTAAAGGGGAATTGCAGTGCATTTGTCACGACCCTGGCGATGTACGAGCATGCAGCTGAGTGCCATGAGAATATGAAGAAGACATTTTTGAAGAAAGGTTCTCCAATACAAAGGTTTCTGCAATTGCTTTTGGATAACAAATTTTTTGCACTTACGGTCAATTCCATTGACAAAGACGAAGGACACGTTGTCCAAAGCCAGTGCATCGCAATAAATTTGTTTGCAGATCATCGTCAAAGTGCAACTGATGAGAGGATGCTTCCCCAAATGAAAGTGAAGGTCGAACGTTGAAAAATTCCTGGGCGACTATGGGCATGATGGACAGCGCGAATGCAAGGTCAAATTGTATCTGCTGTATCCAATCACAAAGCACCTACAAGACGAACTTTCCAGTCTGGATGGTTGAATATGCCCAAAAAAATGGTATTGAGAACGGGCTTCTAGCAGCCAAAGTTGAAGCCGGGTGGAAAGACTGTCCTTTGCGCTGCCGAGAACATTCAAACCCAATCATGTTTCAGAAGCTTCAAGATGATACCAACAATGGAAACAACACATACTCCGAAGATCAGTTGCGAGATATTCGAGAAAGACATGGATGTGTAGTCAATGAGCCACTTCTAGATATCCATCCCTCGAAACAAACTTTTGGAGGCCTGCATAATGGCGCAGGATTGGAGAACCACATTAAGAATAACACGGATATGAGATTGGGACATATCGATGCACTCAAAAGTGCGGGAACGACAACATGACTGGAAAAAATGGACGGCGTAAAGGTGCAGTGTAAGCATGAGAAAGCCAACACCAAAAGACGCCTCAAAGCATTGAAAAAGAAGATCGACAGTTTACAATCAGGCATCAACAGCGCAAAAATCATCATTGAACGAGCGGAAGATCCACACAGAAGATTTGCATCAACATCGGATGCTTGCGTGCAGAACGTGCGAGCAGAACTTGCTATTTTGCTTTCTGAGAAAGAACCCCTTGACCGTGAGTACGGCAAGAATCTTCGTCTACACATGGGTGCCGGCGTCCTCCCGAAACTGATTGAAAGATACCTCAGTACGAAGAAACCCAAAGGTCCAGCTCAGTGGGCCTTTCGCAAAGCTATTGAATTAGTGGGTCCTAAATTCAATCCACAATTTGGAGGAATGGATTTGTCACATGCTCGGGGATTGTTGATGCTCGAGAAATTTTCTGAGATCACCAAAATGGTTGGTGGCGGTGGATACAGACCGGGTGAGGAAAAGCATCAGATGGTTGCGCAAGCAATGGGGGAATCACAAGAGATAACCACGCCTATGTTCACGATGAACACGCTCCTCAAGTCGCAACAAAAATGGGACGAAGATAAGATTGATGAGCTGAAACGGAATTGTTTTATGATGTTCTTCAAATGGCTGAAATATTTCCCCAAACAGGGTGTGTTTCCAAAACTGCATGATGTGGCATGGCACATTCCTCAGTTCGTCACTCGGAACTGGATGTATGGAATATTGTCAGAAGAATCGATGGAGAGTCGTCATCAAGAGCACAAGAAATTGCTTTCAATTTTGAGTTTCATGCCAAATACGAAGCTTCGAAATGATGTGTTCACAAGCCGCCTTCAAGTCTATCAGCTTCCAGAATTTGAAAAGGAAAAGGCAACACTGATTGCAAAAACCACTAAGAAGAAGCGAGGCAAGTACAACATCAAGCCAAAGAATAATTCTTTGCCCATTTCGCAAACTGAATTGATTCTGGATGGCGTGAACATTCGCATCAACAAAGACATGTCCATCGAACCGAGTTGGCTTGAAGTCTACAATATGGTTGCCCGTGGCATAGTTCCGAGCTCCTGGGAAAAAATATTTAGCGAGAGAGACGATATCGATGACAGACAGAAAATGAAGGCTTTATACTCTTCCCAGACTTGTAGATAAATCCAATTAGTTCGTTATTATTGAATGCTAATTCGTGCTACACCTTTCATGCTGGAGGCGAAAAAGAAGCAAACAATAAATAAATGACACAACGAAGTCGGTACCAGTACTTGCTTTATCATGATGGTGTCGTCGTCATCATGTGCCACTTGAATGGACACGAAGACATCTGCTGAGGTGTCATTCGCCAGAGGCAATGCGTCTAATGTGCGCTCATTGTTGCCGCATGATCTAGATCTCTAAATCCAAGTGGACGAAACAAGGCAGCAAAAAGACTCTCGGTCCATTGGTGGTTGTGCAAGATGACCAATAGTAGAGAGGATCGGGCGACGATCGAATCGCGTCCTGGTGCGTTCCAATAAAGCCGCCGGTTGGCTTCGACAGAAATGGGAGAAATGTAGTTACCAGCGATGTACCGCATTTTCAGATGATCCAAGCTTGCGATGTTAATGCTAAACGTGCTGTTCTTCTTACCAGCACTTCCAGCTACGTTGAATGGCTCAGTGGTATCATCATCCTGGTCCTTCTTTGACCATCGCATTATTGAAGTTATTCTCGCGTTTCAGTTGCCCAACGATGTTGGGTGCCATCGTATTGGACACCACAAAATAAGCACATTATATTTACCAAAAGACACCGGCACGGTCAGTCTGACCTCCACCTCCCACATCTGGTGAACCAAATCGTAGTGGAAGGACAGACCCATCAAATAATTCACGAATTTTCACAAGTTCAAATACTGGTTGTATTCAAATTGAAAATACTGCTTGTATTTTATACTGTATGATACGATAGTTACTATTTGTACTCAAAAGTCGGTAGCGGAATCGAAGCTTTTTAAAAACACCTGAAGACAATATAATGTGCTTGTAAAATGCCACAGCGATAATAATAATGTTCAGGACAATTCATCGGATTTCAAAAGGTTGATTTTTTAAAAATAAAAATGATGCACTCTAGCGCGCAGTACGACGCGCATGGGACTTGAATGCGACTCGTCAGACTCCAGAAAAATGCAATTGGATGCATTTTGACACTACCTGAGTACATAACTAAATCCCGATTTCGGCTACTGTGTGTACTGCTTCTTCCTTAATTGCGACTAGCTCGAACCAACGTCATCCCATCATAATAATTCGATCGATATACCGGTACGCAGTACCGGTACCGGTAGATACTGTACCGTACCTCGAAACAAATACCGATGCTATTGTACTGTATATACCTGTACTTGCATGTTTCATCTTTCATCGTGATACTCGGTTACTTACAAAGTTGAGAGAAGGCACAGTCTAGCTGCAAGATACTCCATTGATGGATCATCATTTCACTGAATCGAAGATTGATTCATTGATATAAAGCCACGTTCGAGTGACATGATAATGATGATGATGAACGCATCATCATCATCATCATCACTTTCCTTTAACAGCAAGAACAAGCATAAGAACCTGATACTTTCAATTATGGCATCAGCGCTTCCTTTTTTGCTTCAGCTTGGCCTGACTGCAGCATTTCAACCTGGTTCAGTCCATACTATCTTGTCCGACGATCGGCAACAGACATCACATTACAGTAGTCCAACGAGGATGATGATACCACAACGAGGATCACATAATCACCGACTTTCGATATACCAACGGTCAGCTACTGCTTCTGATGAAACAGAAGATTCATTGATAGACGAAGAAAAACAGGTTTCCTCACAATATGACTGGGATGAACAATTTGAGATACTCCAATCGTTCAAGGAGGAATACGGGCACTGTAACTTTCCCCAGAACAATGCACCAGCAGTGGAGCTCGAAAATCAATATCCAACTCTGGCAAAGTTTTGTCAGGACCAACGCGGCGAATCCAAGAAAAAGTTGTCCAGTCCTCAACGTCGTCGACTAGAGGAACTTGGATTTGAATTTAATTCCCAATGTGCTCGATGGTATGACACGTACCATCAACTAATTCAGTATCGCAATGACAATGGACATTTGCGTGTGAGGAACAAGGAGAACAGTAAACTTTATAGATGGTGCAAAACGCAGTGCGGTAGACGGAAAGGGACCAAAGGGTACTCAAAAATTTCCAACGCTCAAATTGAGCTGTTGGATAACATCGGTTTCGAGTGGGACCCGAAGTTGGAACATGATGAGTTGTGGATGAAGACATACAAAGAGCTTGTTGACTTTCGTAACAAACATGGGCATTTATTGGTCGAGTCGGATGGGAAGCTAGCTTTATGGATGAACATGCAACGGTGGCGATGTGCCGGAAATTCCTACCGGTGTTCTCCTCTCTCCGACGAGCAAATTGGATTATTGAATGAAATTGAATTCCCATGGCAACCAGAGCGGCATGACATGAAATGGCACGCCAAATACAAGGAGCTTGAAGGGTTCCAAAAGGAGTATGGGCACTGTCGGCCGAGTACATTGCAAGATCGCCCTCTCTACGAATGGTCAAAGGCACAACGCAAGAAACGTCATAAAGGCTCTCTCTCCACCCAGCAAATCCAGATGCTGGACAAGATCAACTTCTCTTGGGAAAGCAAACGTGGCAACCGGGCAAATATGCTCGCTGAACTCAACAGCTACTACAATCAGCACGGTCACCTTCAGGTCAGGGAAGATGAATATCCAGGGCTCTACGAATGGACGAGATTGCAACGGAAACGTTATCACGGGATCATCGAGAAACAGCCAATGCCAGACAAACAAATCGACGAAATGGAAGCGGTCAACTTTTGCTGGTCACTAGATTGGAAGGAATGGGTGTGGCGTGAAAAGTATTCGGAAGCAGCCGAGTTCTACAAGGAACACGGTCATGTCCGGGTCCAAGAGAAGGAAAATCCTAGTCTCTACAATTGGATTGCAACGCAAGGAAAGCGGTACGAGGGAACCAAGGGTCAAAAGCCACTATCCGACGAGGAATTGGAACTATTGGAGCAGATTGACTTTGCTTTCTTCGAAAAGCAGCCTCCAATGTCCTGGAATATGATGTATGCCAAACTAGAGAGGTATCGAGAGGAGAATGATGGGCAGTTTCCTACTCACCAAGATGACCCGGAACTGAACCGTTGGATGAGACAACAGCGCAAGAGACTTAGATGTGAGTATGGATATGTTGCACTGTTGGACGAGCAAATGACGATGTTGGAGAGTATCGATTTTCCTATGTTGCCAATTGGGAAACACAGGCGCGTGTGGTATGAAAAGTATGATGAGCTGGTCGAGTTTCGGGAGCAACATGGGCACTTTCTGGTTGATCAGTCCAGAAACCCTGGTCTTTCTAAATGGATTGCTAAGCTGCGCACGATATACACAGGGAGGACTCCTCCTACCTACAGGCCATTATTCATATCAGAGCAGTATCTCTTGGATCGAATTGGCTTTCCATGGATATCTGATCGTTATGAAGTGGAGTGGCAAATGATGTACAAGGAGCTTGTTCAATTTCAACAGGAACATGGGCATATGCAAGTTACAATTGTGGAGTACCCAGCCCTCTACGCATGGATCTCATTTCAAAGAGAAAGGTATAAAAAACTAGACCTTTCTAGCATGCCACAACACCAAATCGAGCAATTAAACAAGATTGGTTTTCGCTGGAGGGCAATTGATGAGGTCAACGTTGAGTGAGTCAAGGAGGATCATTGTGTCTGCTCCATCAGATGGATGATAGAACAAATGATGCCTTGTACTACTGCGGCTCTTCCTCTCTTGACAAATATACCATGTCCCTTTCCGCTGTGCCTTTGATTGAAGGGCAAAAGATGAGGATCCCCAGGACATAACAACAGCAATAACAAGCTTTGGATCATTTCAATCATATATTGCACGTAGATGGTATCGCTCGACAAAGTTTGCAAAGAACAGAATCTTCCTTGATCCTCCTGGTGCTGACAGTTGGTTCCGAGTCAGATGTGGTGGAATGTGAGATTGTTGGAACCGGAATGATTGTGACTCCTGTGGTCCTACTGAAAGCAACTGCAGCAGCAACAGAAGCAACAGAAGCAACAGAAGCAACAGCTATTGTCTTAAAAGTTAAATTGATTGTCTATGTATACCTATCCTAGAAATTTGAAATGTTCTCCACTATCTGTGCAATAAATTGAAAATTTGGTCTTTCATGACAACTACTTCAAATTAACGTCATCCTATCATGCATGACTTTATATATGGAATCGATGATGTGCAATAAAGAATATTAGCATATACATACATTGAAAAAGTGTGATCCTCCCACTGATCCCCCTTTTACTTGGCAATTTACTTGTTCCAAATTCAGTCGAACCGTTCAAGTGCCACGGAAAACGAGGTCTAACGACCCATTTTTCTTGTAGAAAGATTGTTTGTGTCCGTAGCAATTTCCCACAAATATTTTCAAAGTCCCACAACTCCAGTAGGAATCCTACAAGTACTTGTGGAATCCCTTAAGTACCTGAGGAATCGTCCCACAAGTACTTATGGTATTTTCCACAAGTACTTATGGAGATATTGCGCCATCAAATAGATCAATCATTGTGTTCCATTTTGAAACCATTTCCTTTAAGTACTTGTAGTATCCTATAATTACTTGTGGAAAGTCAATTTTCCCACAAGTGCTTGTGGAATATGAAAAAGTTCGTGGGAATTCCACAACTACTTGTAGGAATCCCCCAGATAAAAATTTGCGCTCGTGGTACCGCCATGTGAAACCCTGAAAAAATCAAAATTCCCGACGTGTCCTCCACTGTCAAGGAAGTAATGGCAACTATCTACTAGGGGGGAGGGACTTTGGGGAAATTCCCACTGTCTCATTGGCAACAACACAACTATAAATCTTCTGACTTTTTGGTGTTGTCTACAAATATTTATTGGGGCCTTCACATAATCATCCTCCAAAAGGTAATGATGATGATTGGGAACAAAATGAGAATACATGGTCTGGTTATGATCGGAACTTTAGTGAGTGTGGAACCACTAATCCTATGTCACCACTAATCCTATACCACAAGAACACTATGCAACTCAATTTACTTTGACTCAATCAACTTGGATTTGATTCATGTGACTAGCAAAAAAACTCTAGAGGTCAGAGGAAGATTGCGAACCATACTATCGTGTTGCCATTACATTCTTAGATGAATTCCAATGCAGCATTATAGTTATATATCTTTGCTAGGACTGTGTCCACTCTGAATTAGAGATCTTCATGTAGAATGAATTAATCATATTCAAGCAAGGCCAGCATTCCACAAAGTCAATTGCTGAAGAGGAGTAGGAAGGGAGAAAAATATACTAGCCTAGAATCTCTTTTACGCCACAGCACTCCAAACCACTGCCCGGGCTCAATGCCTATATATTTGGACCAACTTTGAACTTGGTGCCATTGTGTCAGGGTACTGACTTGGCAACTGAGGAGGATTGCTTGTGACACATTCTTGTACCTGGCTTCATCCCCGAAGCAGTGTGAGTGCTATTCCATCACTTCCACTTCAAAGCCACATATCAGTTCATACATAAACAAGTCATTTGTAGGAAATTGGGCCCACATCGGCTTTTTGGACCAGATTATCATGATTTCTGGCCCCATTTTGACGTCCTGGGTCCAAGAACATTATACAATAAGCATCCAAGGGAGGCTCTGGTGTATTGTTGAACAGATGGCTGTGGGGAAAAGACAGCACCAAAAACTGGAGTTACAATAGATCAGCTATTATTCCAAACAAAAAAGAACCAAATGGATCTCTGTTGGGATATGACAAAATATGAGTTTTTACATTCCAAGAAAAATGATTCAAGTACCATTTTTTGACGCGCACGATTTGATTTTAATCGTGATGTCAACAATTTGACGCGAGTCTGCCGGATAATATATATCCACACGGCCCAATACAAGTGGGATATCGATGTTGTGTACGATGCAGTATGGCATATTATTATGGCTGGCACAGAACTGCGCTCAGCAGAATTTGGTGGTTTTTTTTTAAGAAAAAAAAAAATATCAAATATATGTCCAATGACACATGAAGGTTGCCACAATGCCAAGAAAAAGTCCTCTGCTCCCCCAATCCATCAAAATAACCATGGTGGATACTTTGTGAAGGGTTGCTCCTACAGATACGAGAAGAAGGTTGAAGGGGTAAATTGAAAAAAAAATGGAAAATGAAATTTGTCTCGCACGCTTGTCAATCGTGGGGTTCTTTTCGTCTGCCATGCAATGTACTGCTTCTTCCTTAATGATGACTAGTTTGAACCAACGTCATCCCATCATAATAATTCGATTGATATATACGCAGTAGATACTGTACTGTACCTCGAAACAAATACCAATGCTGTTGTACTGTATCTCACCGCTGTGCATGCTGCGCAGACTGGGTCCGACGCCTCCGTCTGCTTCCTGGGCGCACTGGTCCTGACGCGCTATTCCCCGCGCTTTCCTTCCATTTGAGGCACAAGCATTATTGCTCGGATCTCAAAATGACCGCTTCAATCTCTCGTGCGCACCCCAAAGCAGGAGACGAACGCCGAAGGAAGATGCCCACCGCAGGGAGGTGAACGCTTACTGACCAAACCATTGGTAGTAGGTGTCACCTGTAGGATCCACGCTGCTGGTGCTCCCTCCACCCAATTTTCTTTCCGTTTCACTGATCCCAACAACCCATCTCTGCACGCCCATCTCCCAGCAGAACAGAGCCATGCCCAAAACTGTGCCAAAGAACCGCCGCCCAGCAGGCCCTCCCACCAAGAAGCCAAAGAAGCTCTCCCTCCTTACCGCTCTTGGTGCCAAAGAATGGTTTCAATCTCATCCCGTGAAAACTCTTGTCAACCTTGAAAAAGGAGCCAGAAGCGTTCACATCACAACAAATGGTGAGCCCCAGGCCCAAGCCTGTCTCTGCTACAATCGAAATGGAGGACTCTTCGATCCCCAAGGTTTCTTCAAAGCCGAATTTCGCCGGCTCATCACCACAGAACTGGGCATAGTTGGCAGCACCTGCTCCACCTTCTTTCCAAATGGAACCCATCTCCGTGTCAACGTTGTTTTCTGCCTTGGTTGCATGGACCAGAAGGATGTTGACAATCTGCTGAAGCTTATTCTAGTGTCTATTCTACCGCGCGCCTCATATGAGGCATATGCCTCATATGAGGCAGCTTTTGACAGTCCTACCTAACTACCGTAAACATGTTTAACAAACCTCCTGCTTTAAGCGCGTATTCCTTGGTATTCAATCTTTCATGTTTTTTATGGGGTCACTGGCTGAAAATTGCTGTGACGAAAGATATTCTTCATCAAAGGTGCTTCAATCCGCTTTTGTGTGCAAAAAAAAACTGACATCATCACCATCACAACGACAACTACAACGACCCGACCATGGCACCTAGCAACCCCAAACATCCAATAGGGGCAAGAGTATCAACAAGGGCAATCTTGGTCACCAGCTTGGCCGAGTGCAAGCGTCGCTATGGCTCCAATGCCAAGTCAAAAGTTGTTTTTGGAGTTGTGGAGGAGGTTGTTTGCGGCCAAACAGCAACTGCTCGAGCCAATTACACAACCAAAGCAAGATGTACCCTTGGTGACACAGCAACAAAAGTCGCCTCTGTCAACAGTAGAAGCGTCAGTCTTGCTCCTGTTGAAGTTGTCCAACCTGCTGTGCCACAACAAGGTGTGGAAGTAGAAGCAGTGGTCGCGGCACAAAATCCGATGCCTACTCTACCACTGGCTCCAGAGCAGGCACAGCAGCCACCACAGTCACCGCAACCTCCACAACAACCAACAACACCTCCAAACCAACCAGAAGAACACAACAATCATACAAGATCGGTCCCAGATGAGCAACAGGCACAAGAGCCCATGACAATGGGGTCGTCAATGAGGGCCTTCCCAACTATGTTGCGATGGACAGGAGAACAGAAAATGGGTGTGAGATCCAAGATTCGGCGTGTGGTGATAGTGGTGTGATGCTTCGTCTGAAGCTTACAAAGAGAAATGAAGAGGAAGAAGACAAAACTACAGACGGCAATGGACTGCCACATGGGTTCCAGGTGATGAAGGAATTGGTACTTCCATTGCATAACAGTTGGAGAGTTGTCTGTGCTGACTCATACTTTGCTTCTGTTGCAGCTGAGGAGGAAATGCTCCGTCTTGGGATGCACTTCATTGGTGTAGTCAAGACAGCCAATTGACACTTGAATTTCCGTTCCAACTGTAGTGTGTCTTGACAGTGGCGGTTTTGCTGACCAACCCTTCCACAGGTTGAGTAGTAGACTTCAAAAGCCGTGGGCTGTGGTATTTGGAAGTCCACTTGCTCGGGTGCTGTGTACCTGTCGTTAACTAGTTGTCTCCAACATGTCCGCCAGTACCCTTCTCCAACTTCAAGGGATGACGCAGTTGCCATGAAATACCTCGGGTTACGATCAATGCAGACAAATGCAAGTAGTGTTGGATTGCTGAATCTGCTTATAACCCCTTGAAGTCGCCACGGTTTTGTAGCTCAAGACCTGATAGGTATCCCTGAGGATACTACTTCCTAACTCGTGGCATATCAGAGTGGGTATTTCCATGTTGGGAATTATCATCACTGATACTTGGGCCTTATACAAGCGAGCTACAAATACAACAGAGGCACAGAAAACCTTCCATTCCTACCTAGCGGAGGAACTAATCAACAACAGGTACGGCAATCAACGGTCTTTATGAAAACCACCTCTAAATCCTACAGATTTACCCACGGTTTTTGGTATTCCCACTGCAAGGAATGGGCTTGGAATCCACCTAACTCCAACAAAATGCAAGCGGAGGGTCAAAGGACAGGAAACGTGCAGCTATATCAAGTTAGATGCTGCATTGAGGGCTGTGGCAAGAAGACAAGCCTCCAGTGTTTGGCTTGTGTGAATTTGACAGACCGAGAGAAAAGCCCAAATCACAAAAAATGCTACATATGCAGTCCTAAAATAAACCACGATAGCTGGCGGCAACACCTATTTGATAAACATTCTTCTAGACAACCAATAGTCTATTTTACTTCTATTGTGTTCAAAAGTAGGTGTTTTGTCAAGGTCGAAGTGTTTTTTTTGTGTTGTTGTTGTTGTTGTTTTTTGTGTTTTGTACCAAGATGGTCCGTGCGTACATCCGATTTTTTGGTCGCAAACACCCTGCCTCATCTTGGTACAAAATGAACAGACACTAGATGTATTGCGAGGCCCAGTCTACAGCAATGACAAATATGTCACTGTTATTGTTGCCAGCAAGATTCAAGCCAATGGTAAGGGTGATGCTTCAACAGATATCACCGTGGACCTAGCTTGATTGGATTTTAGATGAACAGCGACTTCTGTTGTGTTCTAAAAGAATAGATATACTAGTAAGAGAGTGGTATCATAAATCAAGATCACTGCCTGTTCCAGTGTACCTTAATCGAACCATCATCTATCCTGAGTGATTGGGTGATTTCCAGAGAGAATTGTAGCACTTCATCAGAAATGACGGTCATCTGATGGTTTCAGATTCATGTTTGGAGGTTCCAATCACAAGAAAAGCTGTGCTCACGGTGTCATGAACTGCATTGGTAACAACTGCCAATGATCGACCCATGATCCTGCGCAAACGATTGAGTCATTCCGGGAGGGAATATGAAGGATTTACATTCCTTCTTGGTGGTTTATCTCATAAGAAAAGCGGTGCTCGCGATGTCACGACCCGCTCCAAAAAACAAGTTCCGCTGCATCTCAATCCACCCTAGACTACTACGGAACAACTGGGCTATTCATGGTGGAAACTGGACAACTGGAGCAGGTTCTTGTTCCTAAAAGCAGACAGCGGCACACAGATCGATTTATTTTAATCAACTGAAACTTGTTCTGGATTCTGTGCGCTTGTGAGTACAGTTTCCGGTAGTCCTTCCCAGCAACCCTGGAGTTGATCGTCGTTGCGTGCACAACAACTTTTGTCGTGCTGCATTCTCTTTTCCACCTAACAACCAGCCAGTTTTTCAATTGGGTACTTGTTAGTTGTTGGAGCACCAGGACGTCTATACCCGTAAAGGCCAAGGGGTTTCATCCAGCCTCTTGTAGTCTTCTGCAGTCAGTATCTTACAGACTCAGAAGAACAGTCTCCGTATTCGCACCCGCAATTGACCAACTTTGGTTTGGTCCTTTTCACTTTGCTGGTTGTCGAGTGTGGCAGTAAACGGATCCAAGAAGGTTAAGGGAGTTAAATCCATAGAAAACGGACGGCTCCTTGTTCCAGATTTGGGACCTTCACTTCTGCTCTGACCTCAACTGACGTTCAAGCAAACCAGGAAAGCCTAACCGCAATCCATGGGACTAGTGTACGGTTTCACTAGTTTGGAACGTCAACCCATTCGAGCCCTTCTTGCTAGGGAATCACTCGGCCAACCTTTTGATTTTAAGAGTTTTGGGACAGGCATTGTCCCTAGAGTCTTCGCTCTCGTGAGAGGACTCTTCCCCTGCTTTTCAACCCCAACAACAAACCAGACATGCCAGCTACTCGGAGCGGTAGAAACTCTACACCAACTGTTGGCACCACTGTCGGTACGCCTGCCAATGCTACCATACAACCTGGTGATACTTTTGCAAGCCTAGCGTTTGCTGTCACGACCCTCTTTCGAGCATCTCTCGACAGTCCACTCATGCTTGCTCTTTGTTGCGATGGATGTATTAACTTCATGGACCTCCTCTCTTACAGGGATATCCCGCAGTTTTCTGTGAAGCCAGCTTTCTCTTTTTTTGGAGAGTCGATGTGGTCATTTTCACCCTCTTCTGCACGAAACTTCAATAATCGACTTTCACTTATTGCCTGCCAGAAAGAAACTTCTATGACAAGGAATTTTATAAATGTTCACAATGCCATTAAGTATTCAACTTCATTCGCCAGATTAAATTTTAAAGTTTGTTTTATTTTCACAGCAATTGCGGAACATCTGTAATGACCCCAAAAAAACCTGTAAATTTTTCACAGAAGTTTTGGAACATCTGTGAAAAATTCACAGAGATTTCGGAACATCTAACTCAGAATGCGGTGCCAACTTAACCGTTTTTTTACAAATTTGGTCACGCTTACTTGAGATTTTGAAGAGAAAACGCAAAGAGAGTTTCAGAATCTTTCAGGATGATGCTTGGAATCGAAGTGACACCAGAACAGGTGCTGATCTACGGATTTGAAATGATTGGGGATTCACCTACCACGATTACTGATGACGACTTCAAGGAGCATAATATTGGAGTTTTCAAGGCTCATTTTGGCCAACGCCCCAGCACTCTATGCATTCTCTGGCAAGACATTTTGAATTGTACGAACAAAGACTTGGGGCTCCGCCCATTTGACAGGAGCAAGGAGGGGCTTAAGCGATTGCTAGTTGCAATCAACTCCCTTGCCTCAGCTACTGGGATAAGCACACGAAGGGACCACGACGACAACCTATGGCACTGGGTGAAAGTTCTTTGGGCACTGGAAGCAAAGGTGATCAGCTGGTCGGAGAAAGAGTACAAACAAAAGAACTATGGTCCAGGAAGAAAATGTATCATGAATAAACTAGATCCATGCCTTTTTACGTACCTACACTGTGTGACTTTGCCTACAATGTGTGACTCTGGTTTTTCTACAGCAATGACGTTTTTCTAACAGCAATCTCTTTCCGCAGTCATTGTTGTGCAAATCGATGACGCATCAAATTGTTCCGTTAGTTTGTTTCGGAACAGAATTTTTTACTCAGACAATAGAAAACAGAATTTTTGACTCAGACGACTGTGGGAAAAAGTCTACGACTAGTTTTACATAGTGCAGCCATAAATGTTATATTCCTAGCTGAACCCACCATTTGCCACAATTTTGACATTTCGGAACATCTGTGAAATTCACAGAAGTTTCGGAACATCTGTGAAAAATTCACAGAGATTTCGGAACATCTGCGAAAAATTCACAGAATTTTTGACCCAGACGACCAAGCATTGCTTGCGCACAACATTAACCGTTTTTTCCTCTACCGAAGTTGTATGGTGCTTTTACGAAAGGGCATGCGTGCATGCATGTCAGCTGAACCTCTGTTGAAACTTCACGGCAATTTCGGAACATCTGTGAAGACCCTTAAAAAACCTGTGAAAAATTCACAGAGATATCGGAACATCTGTTGGTCATTCACAGAGATTTCGGATCATCTGTGAAAAATTCACAGAATTTTTGACTCAGAGGACAAAAACAATGGTCAATTAGGGGAACTGTCTGTAATTTAATGAACTACGACCAAAACGCGACGATCACCAACCAAGAATGAATTCCACGAGCACTGATGATGTCGGATCACAGATCCCCGTGCAGAAGGAGTGAGCAAGCCGGTCAGGCCCCGATTCCAGTTCAGATTCACACCTGCTGATTTGTTCCAGAAGAGCTCGAAACTCAATCCTGAAGCATACCCAACTCTCAACACTAATGAAGAGTGGGACAGCTTCCATAACACGCTGAACGTACTGGATCACTCCTATGTGCCCAAATCTGTGGACGAACGGGACCTCTTCCAGAAACAGCAGGTCTTCATGTACACCACCTTCCTCCACAAGTTGCAGACCAACACTAGCAAATCTTTGGTGCGAAAGTACCAAGAGACCTTCAACGCCCAGCAGATCTGGGCTGAGCTCTCCAACCACTGTACTACATCTGCAGTGGCCAAAACAAAAGCTAGTGATTTAATGACTTGGTTGACTACCAAGAGACTCGTCAAATTGGTCTGGACCAGCAAACATTATGCCTTTGTCCTCTATTGGTGGTAGTCGAACGCTAACTACTATAAAGAAGTCTACTCTAGAGGATGCTACTGCTTTCTTTACTGACTTTGTACTGGAAGACGACTTGCTCCAACAGTTGCAGGGTACGAGCATGGGGAGAGATGGTGCTACAAGTGCCCTTCCTCCTGTACATGATGGAAACAAGTCAGATAGAGAGATGAGATAGCCACAAACGAATCTATTTTAGTTTGTACTCTTAACATCCTTGAAGCTACTCTAGACTGTACTCTTCACTTCGTTGGGCCACTCGACTTTGATCTGATCGATTGTGGATTGAGCACCGCTAACATTCCAAATGCCACGCTCATTCCTAAGCATTATACTGATCATGACCAAAGTGTATTGGACTCCACCACTATTGGAACTGAGAAGCCAAGCCGACATTCAAACAAGTAGATAGCCATATTTGTAATAGAGCCTTACTCTTTACTACAATGAACGGCACCTCTGCTTTAGATTGTGCAATCGACTTCTTCCAATCCTTTGTCTATGCGAATCCAATAGATGGACTTAATGAAGTCCATCGTTCACCAACTTCTGATTTAGCTAGACTTGAACGTAGCATGGAAGATCCTTTCAACCTGGATCGCACCAGTGCAACTCAAGTCGCACCACCAGAGCTTGTGATCTATCAGTCTCATAAGCAACCCTCAACTCAAGAGGCGCACTTTGAGCTGGTGTCGTATGAATCTCACAAGCAATCCTCAACCCAAGAGGCACGCCTGACGGAAGAAATGGTCCACCACCTTGCAACAACTTTGAGCACGGATTACAACCAACTGAGTTTGAACTGAAGAACCCAAGCTCGGCTGTGAAGTCTTGTGAACGTAATTGGGAACGCCTTCGCAGCTACTTTGCATGGTTGCCCAAGCTAGTCATCCAGAAGAACTCGGAACACTACATGGAAGACTCAACTCAACTAGCTACGATAACTACTATAGATATTACAGTACTGGCGCCATCCAACTTTGTATCTACTTCTAGAGCTATAGTCACCAAATCCGAGCCCCGCAAATCTGCAGCTTCCTACTTGCTGGAAAGCACAGATGCAGCACACACCATGGCACTGAATCGCCAAGCTACAATGATAGTATCATTGAGCGGTCTCCAGGCCTATACCACCAATGTGCTTGTAGCGGAGCTAACCAAGTCTTGACTTCGATGGCACAGGCACACATGAGTTTGCTACAACTACAACCAATGGTATAGATCTTTATCACTGTGCATTGGCAGTGAGCGACTCCCTCCATTGGACATATATTGATGACTGGCAAACTTTGCCAAACTGTCAGCATTCAACATCCAATTGGACGAAAGCGATTTAAAATAAGACTACTAGCTAAAACAAAAATGATAAAAATCATCCACTTAGCAACTTGTCTATCTACCAACGCTTTCTACATGAAGCAGTCGACCGCTTCAACTGAAGACCAAATGGATTCTGATAGTATTGTTGCTCAGATTCATGGGGAGCAGACAACTGGTCTGCAACCACTGCTCAAAGGCAATGAGCCACTCCTTGATGGCTTGCCTCGGCATATAACTAAACGGTATGAGACAACATTGTACCACCTACACATATGGCATGCCTTGTTGCCATTGAGTCATGTAAACGAAGTTTTCACCTGAAAAGGTTTTCTTTGCCTCATATTGATGGAACCAAGACTACTGAGACTTTTACCAACAGCCCATCAAGACCTAATACAAAACAAGCGACATGTTGTACTGTCGTTCCCCCGTGTTAGAGAGGTTATTGCATCCAATACGCTCTCCTTTCTACACATCGAAGGTGCTAAACACCCGACCGATATCCTTAGCAAAAGATATCAACAAATATGGCCACAGCTACGCACACTACTTTCCTGAGTAGATGACACAGCTGAGGAGGATTAGGTCCTCACTAATTCACCCATTTGTATCAAGAACGGGTTTTGTGACACAGACCACGATTCGTATGTTAGCGCTCTTATGGGTCATATAGTAATTAATAGTAAAATAGATATGATGACGTGTCGTTGGATGAGAACAGTTGGAATGTTGCGCATCAAGCGTATCAACTGTTTGTCAATTCCCGATCGACTCATTGTGTCGTGTTTTGTTTACTAGTGTAATCTCAAGCGTTCACCCATGAATAATAATATTCTGTCAGATCTCTGTTGAGATATGACGAAATATGAGTTTTTACGTTCAGAGAAAAACGATTCAAGTACCATGTTTTGACACGCACAATTGGATTTTAATTGTGATGTCAGCAATTTGACGCGAGTCTGCTGGACAATCTATATCCACATGACCCAATACAAGTGGACTATTGATGTTGTGTATGATGCAGTAGGGAATAATACAAGATGTCCCAAAGTACTGTATTCGACACAGAATCCTCATAGAAATCGGATTGAGTTCTGTAAACAAGGGATTTCCCAAAGGAAATTTGTTGAACTCACTTTTGTGATTGAATCATCAATTCACTGACTATATATTTGGACCAACTTTGAACTTGGTGCCATTGTGTCAGGGTACTGACTCAGCAACTAAGGAGGATTGCTTGTGACACATTCTTGTACCTGGATTCATCCCCAAAGCAGTGTGAGTACTATTCAATCACTTTAAATAGAAAATGTCCACTCCAAAGCCACTTATCTGTTCATACACAAACAATTCCTTTTAGGAAATTGGGCCCACACCACTACCAAGTGGCTCTTTACCATGATTTCTGGCCCCATTTTGCCGTCATGATTCTTGACCTAGGCCAAACCATTGCCTGGGTCAAAGAACGTTAAACAATAAGCATCCAAGGGAGGCTCTGGTGTATTGTTGAACAGATGGCTGTCGCCAGGGCGGTGGGGAAAAGACAGCACCAAAATCTGGAATTACAATATCTCAGCAAGTATTCCAAACCAAAAAACAACCAAATGGATCCCCAAATAAGTATGATCACTGTGGAGCTTTTGAGCACATGTTGCGAGCCCTCTTGACTTTCTGTGATCAGGTCCTGCAATAGGCGGACAAAACAGGGTAGATTGTAGTTTAGTTGAGTTGAAAGGAAGTGTGAACAGCTGTTCCAGCCATAGCTAGTCTATCTATCAAATATGCTTGCCACAACATCCCCTTCAGCTTTTACTTCTCTGGGTGCCCACATTGGCTTGTCCAAAAGATTTATGTTTGGCAAACCATCAATTTTGGTAATTCAGATCCCAAAAATGGATATTGTGCAGCTTGTGTCTTGATGGTGATGGTAATATATATGAGTCGCCTTCAGCAAATACACCTTCTTGACACCTATCCGTCCAGTCCAAGCAACCAGCAGAACCAATCATGGTGGAGTATTGTGCGATTGCAGCCCAGCAAAAAATATTCAACATCAGCCATTGCCTCAACTCCCAGCGTAATATAGTATATCAACTATGCTTGTGTAGTCCAGGTTGTGCCATTTCAGGGCAAATGCATTCACATCGCTTCATACAAACACAATACATAAGGTCATGCTACAGATAATGTCTGGGGTCAAAGGGAGTTTCTTGAGGTGGGTGTGACAAGTTCGTAGGCCTCAAGGCTCACCATTGTGATTGAAGAATCCTTCAATTATCCCTGGTCGTTCATGTTGTTTTGAGCCTCGTCTGCAGTAGCTTGTTTCACTTTCTTGAAAACCATCACACCACTTCTCTGACCTTGCATGATTGCAAATGAAAACCAATTGATTTTGGTAGTATATGTATTTTAGTTATGTATATGTGTTGTAGGCAACATAGTTAACTTCCCTGTTGATGGAATTGGAACAATTGTGAATCCTATGGTTCAACTGGAAGGAGCAGCAGTAGCAGCAGAGGGAGAGCGAGTAGCCATAATGAGATCAAAACTATAACAAAAGTAACGTCTACAGTTTATCTACCGGTTAAATTGAAAAAAAATGAAGTATGAAATTTGTCTCTCACTCTTGTCGACCGTGGGGTTCTGGTCGTCTGTCATGCACTGCTTCTTAATGACGACTAATTCGAACCAATGTCATCCCAACCAATATTCGAACAGCTATGCTATTGTACTGAATATACCTGTACCTGCATGTTTCATCTTTCATCGTGATACTCGGTTACTTACAAAGTTGAGAGAAGGCACAGTCTAGCTGCAAGACACTCCATTGATGGATCATCATTTCACTGAATCGAAGATTGATTCATTGATATAAAGCCACGTTCGAGTGACATGATAATGATGATGATGAACGCATCATCATCATCATCATCACTTTCCTTTAACAGCAAGAACAAGCATAAGAACCTGATACTTTCAATTATGGCATCAGCGCTTCCTCTTTTGCTTCAGCTTGGCCTGACTGCAGCATTTCAACCTGGTTCAGTCGATACTATCTTGTCCGACGATCGGCAACAGACATCACATTACAGTAGTCCAACGAGGATGATGATACCACAACGAGGATCACATAATCACCGACTTTCGATATACCAACGGTCAGCTACTGCTTCTGATGAAACAGAAGATTCATTGATAGACGAAGAAAAACAGGTTTCCTCACAATATGACTGGGATGAACAATTTGAGATACTCCAATCGTTCAAGGAGGAATACGGGCACTGTAACTTTCCCCAGAACAATGCACCAGCAGTGGAGCTCGAAAATCAATATCCAACTCTGGCAAAGTTTTGTCCGGACCAGCGCGGCGAATCCAAGAAAAAGTTGTCCAGTCCTCAACGTCGTCGACTAGAGGAGCTTGGATTTGAATTTAATCGCAGATATGCTCGATGGTATGACACGTACCATCAACTCATTCAGTATCGCAATGACAATGGACATTTGCGAGTGACGAACAAGGAAAACAGAAAACTATATAGATGGATCAGAACGCAGTGCAGTAGACGGAAAGGGACCAAAGGGTATTCAAAAATTTCCGATGCTCAAATTGAGCTGTTGGAAAACATCGGTTTCGAGTGTGAGCCGAAGTCGGAACGTGATGAGTCATGGATGAAGACATACAAAGAGCTTGTTGACTTTCGTAACAAACATGGGCATTTATTGGTCGAGCCGGATGGGAAGCTAGCTTTATGGATGAACATGCAACGGTGGCGATGTGCCGGAAATTCCTACAGGTATTCTCCTCTCTCCGACGAGCAAATTGGATTATTGAATGAAATTGAATTCCCATGGCAACCAGAGCGGCATGACTTGAAATGGCACGCCAAATACAAGGAGCTTGAAGAGTTCCAAAAGGAGTATGGGCACTGTCGGCCGAGTACATTGCAAGATCGCGCCCTCTCTACGAATGGTCAAGTACACAACGCAAGAAACGTCATAAGGGCTCTCTTTCCATCCAGCAAATCCAAATGCTGGACAAGATTAACTTCTCTTGGGAAAGCAAACGTGGCAATTGGGCAAATATGCTCGCTGAACTCATTAGCTACTACAATCAGCACGGTCACCTTCAGGTCAGCGAAGATGAATATCCAGAGCTCTACGAATGGATGAGATTGCAACGGAAACGTTATCACGGGATCATCGAGAAACAGCCAATGCCAGACAAACAAATCGACGAAATGGAAGCGGTCAACTTTTGCTGGTCACTAGATTGGAAGGAATGGGTGTGGTATGAAAAGTATACGGAAGCAGCCGAGTTCTATAAGGAACACGGTCATGTTCGGGTCCAAGAGAAGGAAAATCCCAGTCTCTACAATTGGATTGCAACACAAGGAAAGAGGTACGAGGGAACGAAGGGTCAAAAACCACTATCGGACGAGGAATTGGAACTATTGGAGCAGATTGCCTTTGCTTTCTTTGATAACCAGCCTCGCATGGCTTGGAATGCAATGTATGTCAAACTAGACAGTTATCGAGAGGAAAATGATGGGCAGTTTCCTACTCACCAAGATGACCCGGAACTGAACCGTTGGATGAGGCAACAGCGCAAGAGACTTAGAAGTGAGTATGGATATGTTGCACTGTTGAACGAGCAAAAGTCGATGTTGGAGAGTATCGATTTTCCTATGTTGCCAATCGGGAAACACAGGCGCCTGTGGTATGAAAAGTACGATGAGCTAGTTGAGTTTCGGGAGCAACATGGGCACTTTCTGGTTGATCGAACCGGAAACCCTGGTCTTTATAAATGGATTGCCAAGCAGCGCACGATATACACAGGGAGGACTCTTCCGACCAACAGGCCACTATTCAAATCAGAGCGGTATCTCTTGGATCGAATTGGCTTACCATGGACATCGGATCGTTACGAAGTGGAGTGGCAAATGATGTACAAGGAGCTTGTTCAATTTCAACAGGAACATGGGCATACACAAGTTACAATTGTGGACTACCCAGCCCTCTGCGCGTGGATGTCGTTCCAAAGAGAAAGGTATAAAAAACTAGACCTTTCTAGCATGCCACAACACCAAATTGAGCAATTGAACAAGATTGGTTTTCGCTGGAGGGCAATAGACGAGGTCGACATTGAGTGAGTTAAGGAGTATCATGATTCCCCATGTTTGTTCCAACAAATGGATGATAGAACGGATGATGCCTTGGATCATGCCAATCACTTATTGGACGCAGATGGTATCATTCGCCGAAGTCTGCAAAGAACAGAATCTTCCTTGATCCTCCTGGTGCTGACAGATGGTTCCGAGTCAGATGTGGTGGAAAGTGAGATTGATGGCATTGGAACCCCGTGGTGAAAGAAACTGCAGCAGCAACAGAAATATCAACGATAGTGTTAGTTTAAACGATGGTCTATGTATACCTATCCCAGAAATTCAACATCTCGCCCACTCCTACCGGTATATCAGCGCAATAAATTGAAAATTTTGTCTTTCACGACGACTAGCTCGAATGAACATGTCATCCCATTTCACTCTTTTCTAATATCGAACCTATATCGCGATGATCCACAATAACTATATTAGAATATACCGATATAGATCGGCAACAACACACAGAATACAGTTTAAGCCTCATGAACGACAACAAGTCTTCTGACTTTTTGGTGACCGCCTACGAATTTCTATTGGGGCCTGCCCATAATAGTAATAATAATAATAGTGATTGGGAACAAGATGAGAACGCATGGTCCGGTTACGATTGGAACTTTAGTGAGTGTGGAACCACCAATCCTACGCCACGAGAACACTGCGCAACTCTATTTGTGAAATACCGAACAAGTGGTGATGTTGATGCTGAGAAGTCAAAGAATGCTAATTATAAGAATCCCAATGATGATGCTCCTGTGACATCTGCTATTTTTGGTCCAATACTAAACGAGGACGATGATGACAATGACCTCATTCGAATATACAATTCCTCGTCCAATTTGAACAATAGTGACGATGCTGTTGCTGCTGCTGAGAAAGGCATAGACGACAGCAATCCTACTCACAATGATTCCAGCAATAAGCCGTCACAGTTCCTGAGAGGAGTCGCCTATCCCCAAGAAGATTTGAGGAATGTTTCCAATGTCAATGACGTCAGTACTACTCCTGCTGGTCCAGAAGAAGAAGAAGAAGAAGAGGACCTTATTACCATACCTTCTTGGACCATGGGCGTCTTTCACGTGGCTACCAAACAAGACTACGAGTTTGCTTGTCAGCTAGAAAAGGAAGATCCATTCCATCGAGTGGTACTGAAACACGAGCAGACGAGCCATTCGATATCTCCGAACCTGTTGTACACTGCGGATCACGATACTGATGATGACGACTCATCTCAAGCCACCATTATGGTTTGTGTTACCACTGGCATGGCACCAACTGCTGTCTCGCCCGATGACCATCCCGATCGATTTCTGCATCAACGTGTATCGACACGAATCGAATTGAAAACTCGAATGCCATTGTCCGACCACAATGATAATGATACCACCGCCATTACTATTGCCAAGTGTCACTTGTCCTATCGAGACGACCAATGGGATCCGTGGATTGGCCCCTGCATCGAGGCCATGTCCGTCAATCCTCAATATCGTGGACATGGTTGGCTGTGGGTCTTGTGGTATCAAGCGGTCTTTCCGTTTTTGCAGCAACACTATACCGTTGTTGAGGACAACGACGCCAGTGTTGACAAGGATAATGACAAGAACATCAAATCAACATCCATTCAAGTCCGCGTCATTCATTTATTGGGTTCCGAGTTGGACCATTATTATCATTCCTCATCAACAGCAGCAGCATTATCAGCGTCAAACAACGACCAAGACAACAAGAAAGTAATAGTCTGGGACCAGGACTTTTACTTTGGCCAAATCGGTTTTTCCATTCTTCCCCGTGGAGAGCGTACGGGAGTGATGAATTACCTGCGACCCCATGACGATCAAGGAATTGGATATCTTTCACTCAAGAAGGAAGAGACCAAAGGCGGCACGACTTTATCATCCTCATGCTCAATATCATCATCACCACATCATCAGTATCATCATTATGAAGCAGTAGCAGGTGCGCGCAATTGTCAAACCTGTGGCAAGATTACCAAGGAATGCTTTGCCTGTGGCAAAAAGTGTGGAGGACGAGTGTACTATTGCAGTACTGCTTGTCAAGAAACCGATGCCCCTTTTCATGCACGTTGGTGTGGACTGACACGGAATCAACTGCATGAGGTATTGGTCCAAGAAGGGAGGCGGGTTCAAGATTCCAAGGGAGAATGGAGGACCGTATTGTAATCATACTTACCGGAGGGTTATATTGCTGCCTTTTCTATGTCTTCGTCATTCTTCTTCTTGACATACAAATCTATCATGATTGCAAATCTGACTGTGATCAGAACATAACGTACAGCAGTATCACAACGTAACAAACCCAATAACAAGACAGGAAGGTAGTATAGTATAGTATGGTATATATCAGTTTCTATTATTATTTTGTATTGTGGTAATGTGGTAATGGTACAATTGATTGATTCGTACAACGCGTAACAAGTGCAAGTGTTGCACTCCAAACTTAATTCTTGTCAAAGTAGGCACCAAAAAAGTCTTCGGCTCCAGTGAGGACCGCTTGACGTCGGGAGCAAGCCGTACATTCGCGTGCGACTTGGGCCACCTCTTCGATTGTGAGGGAGGGTTGTTGGGCAATCAGTAGGGTGCATTTCATGGCGAGTGCCTTGTGCTTGACGCGGTCCAACTGATAGCGTTCGTAACCTCGTGAGTCTTCGAGTGGCAAACCATGAAGCACGTGATTCCGAGCTTCCATTTGATTCAATTTGATGTCCGTTCGTTTGTACCACAATTGGAGGGCTTCTTCTTGGGTAATCTTGTCTAGTGGAGACGAAACATCCAGCACTTCATTCTCTTCTGGAGAGAAACGGACTTTGGAAGCAGTGCGAGCACGCTTTCGTGGTGGAGCAATAAGCTCAAAGGTGGGTTCCAGTTGTTCGAAGCAGTCCAATCGTTGGGTGGGTGCGACTTTTGCTTCTTCTCGCGTGGTACAAGCGATTGTGTCTTCTTCGATGCAAGTACAGCTGTTGCTGCTGCTGCTGCTGTTAGGGTGTGGGCGTTTCAAAGCATTCTTGACGGTAAACGTTTGTGGATGGCACATTAGAGTATTTGTTGATTACCGTATAGTATTGTTTCTTTTTGTTTGTGAGTCGAAATTGATTGGGATAGTTTTGTGACACCCGCCCATGCAAATTCACGAGCACAATAAAAAACGCTCGTCCATAATGAGCCCAGAGCAGCTCATAGTTGAAGTCTATTCTTTGAGCAGAACCCTTTTTGACATTGAAGTTGAGTGTCGAATATGTATTTAGAAGCGCTTTCGAAAATGTTTAACGAAAGGGTGAAGTAAATTTTTGCGGAAGTCACCTCAAGGTTGAACGAATGTTGCTCCTGGTTTAACCAGAAAGGGATAGTTAAAAAAGCATCGCGCCGGCTAATTCAACGGAGTTCCATGGCATTCGTTTCGATACGAAGCCGATCAAAGATCATTTAACGTCATGAGAAACACAACAATCCATTCAAACTTCAAAATACGACCATTCGTTGAACATTCTGCCAGATATATGACCTCTCCCTCCAACACATTTGGCCCGATTTAATTGACTTTGGTGATGATTAGTCGCGAGAGGAGGTGTGGAACCGCCAATAGGACGAGAAGACGAGATACGACGTGTCTGACCGAGACGATAACCTTTGAATTGAAATGTACGGGAGGACGCGAGCTACCCCGGTTCAAAAGTTTTCTGTCAATCTTACAGGACCAGATTGATTGTCTGTTCACACACCGTTGCGGCACGAACCTTCAACCTGCTTGGTTCAACCAAGACTCTTGTCTTTTTGCTCCGGAATAAAATAATCCGGTGAGTCGGTCTGTAATACTTACCGTGCTCTCCTTTCAGAGTTCAGTGTAGTCAAGGTTGCTACCGGTACCGTATCGTACCACCAGTACGGGTACCAGGTACAGTAGGTTTGTCCGGGCAATTTTAAAAATAGGTAGAAAAAACGCTCCTTCGGTTTCTACCGGCGCTATAGTTGAGGGTACTCAAAAGATGGTAACGCAAGAATCATCATGATCATTGTGGATACGTGTACCGGAGACAATTGTGAGATGACAAGGAGCCCGGACAATCCTCCTGAGTTGGTCTAGGAGGAGCGCTGCTGTTTCGAATAGTACTGTAGCTTCTTAGTACCTGGTAGTAGGAGGTAGTTGTAGTAGTAAAAAGTGGAAACCCATGACGAGATACGCGCTCCACTTTATATGTAAAATATTAGATATTTAGGGTTCTCGCCGGAAGAGTGGTTGGAGATCCCACAACAGCAAGAATGCGACATCTTCGTCTCCACCAACCTATCTACTACTGTAGAGGAGCGCATAGAGGCAATGTTGGTGGATAGACGAGGAGAGATCACGCAGGAAGATTGGAGGTACAAAAACATTGGGAGTTTGTGGTAGGATGAAGAATAGTATTTTCATTGCTGTCAATGCAATAAAGTTGGCGTAGGTCCAGGAGGAGTGGTGGCGGACGAACGAAAAAAGTTCATGCCGGAAGATTGGAGATATGCCACTGTTCGACGTGGGTGATTGTCAGATGATAATGGCACTATGGAGGCAGCATTGATTTGATTGCTACGTGCTGGTTGGGCCCGCCCGCCCTCCTCCTTAGTGCTACTAGTAGTAGTTGGTCACCAAAAGCACTGTGCCAATCCTAGTAATTTTCTACTAGCTTTTCGTATACTATATTTGATACAGGTTTGATGGTACCATACGCTTTTCATTTTACCCTGGAAAAGGCTACATCATGCATCATGCGATGGAGACGCAAGCTCTCTTCTGGCGGGCAACTTGAAACCAGGTATTCATATTTTAGGGGATTGGTCAATAAATATGCGGGGTATACTTCGGGGGTGTCGTTTTGGCGAAGGAAGGACTGTCAAAAGTTTCGCGCGATGGTCGATCGTGCAAAATTGATGACCCATCAAACGCCCGTACAATCAACGTCATCGGATTCAGGCTCAGAAACTCATTCCATCAGAAAATCTTTCATTCCTTTGCCATTGGAAGAATAGACATCGGAATCATGAAGTCTGTATCATCTCTTCTACTGTGTCTGCTATTGGCAACAACACAACACCAAGTCAAGGCCCACCCTGGAGCTGTTGCGGAAGGCAGAGCCACCTGTGGCGTCGAATATTCCACTCCTGACTCGGCCTATGTCATTCCAGACATTGCCGAAGCTTGGTACATTCGTCGGGTTTCCACTTGTGAGTCGCCAGTCTTTTGGACCAAGTTTGAAGTCACCGCATCTGGAACCACAGCTACGGCTCAAGCAGAAGCTGCTCAGCAACTTTACATTGCGGCGATTTCCCCTGAAATTGATCGGTTTCGAGATCAATTGAAGTTTCACGGCGTCTTGTATGGCCCAGGAGTTGGCGCTGACGCGACCAATGGATTGTCGGCAATCCCAAGCACGCTGCCACCGGGTATCACCGTTCGCGACGATTTGGGTGGGGCTGCTTATTTGGCACCACCTGAGAGTTTGGCAACTTGTTCTTTTGTGGATACCAATCCCGTCATGAAGTCATTTTCGGATGTGATTGGAGGAAGGTGCATGGAACAATATACCTTTGATATCAACTATGATGATTCACTTGTGCAGGGTACGTCTCAGATTATATCAACAAGGCCTTTGATCATACCGCTTTGGTTCCTAACTTCTCATTGTTTTTGCCACCTCGCCCTTTCCAACTCGAATGGATCTTTTCGTCAGGTGCCACCGTATTCAACTGGTGGTTGTACAGTTTCGAACATCGTACAGTGGAACCTGGAACCTACTATTTGCAAACTTGGTTGACTCCTGCAGACGATGTGACTCAAGTCTCTCCAGGAAAGTACGAGCTGACCCTTGGACCATGGATCTGGTATCGTTACGCTTCCCAAGAGACCTTGTCCCAGGCACAAAGTCAGGGAACCAGTTGCTCGTGCGCTTATAACGAATTGGATTACCGCGAGCGTGTCTTGGGCCGATTGGGTGGAGTTGATGCCGCCTTGTTCCAGTCGCAATTGCCAGGTGGTAGCTGTGCTGCTGCTTCCAATCCAGAACCAAGTATGTGCTACACCATTGAAAAGGAACCCTACCGATCTGAAGACTCGGCCATTGAATGGAGTGGAATGTTTTCACTTCAAGCAAATACTACTTATGAATGGAGTTATTTTGCGTATTTTCAAGGAGCTGCCGACGGCATTTATGATTACCCGGATCCAGGCATGTTTATCTACGTCGTCGAATCGGCAGACATTGAATCTGTGGCAGCTCAAGCAGATTCGTCTTTGAAGGCAGCTGTGGACCTAGAGCCAACTGTCACTCGAGCCGCAGGAGACATTGTCTCCATTGGTGACGAGATTCAGTACATTTTGTTCACCAATACTTCGATTGCAAGCAATACGACTGTTCTCTTTCAACCCACTGCAGATGTTTCGATTGCTGTCTTTACCCAACATGTTCCATCTGAATTCATGGCACACGTTCTCAGAAATCAAGCCACTGGAGAATATGTCTTTCCTACTAGTATGACACTGTATTCCGACGAAGGCGGCGATACTGGTGCGAATAACAGTGCGGGGATGGTGACGGCTGGAGTATCTGTGGCGTCGGCATTGTTGGGAGTCGCTGCAGCAATGGCATTTTAAAACTCTCCAGGAGTTTATGTCGGTGGCAAGTGTATGAGCCACTATTAGTCCTTCTTTTATATAATTTATGTTTTTAGAATACTGCATATATACCGGCCGGTATGGTGTGTTGTCCCTGCACCTCGTACCGGTACTGTAACTCAACTGACTAATAACTCAACTAAAACACCAAAACTGCACGGGCTTAATAATTGAGACGGTATGGTACCGGTAGGATGATGACCCTGAGCTTACCAAATCCGGGATTGATATATACATTGATAGTCTCGTGGTCAATTGAAATATATATATTATATGTATCCTCGAACGGAAGTAAATTCGAAGGCTGTGCTTCAAGCCCAATGTTTATATCTGCTCGGCTGCCAGATAAAACAAAATGCAAGCCCAAAATTTATCATTTAATGGACGCGACAACAAAAACCGTATTTCTCCCGAATGACTTGATTACCTTTATGCTGGAGCGAAAAGGAGAACAGAGTAATTCTCCCTAATGCCCTTCTTCTCAACAATCTGGCATGTTCTTATTTATTGCCCCGCAATACTCTTGACCATTATTTTGCACAGAAGTTCATTTGTCAAGGAGTGTTTTGACATTGTGCCACAAGAAGACACAACCATCAGTAGTTCCAAGCCAAAAAAATAAAAGCAACAATGATAAGGAGAATGGAATACGATGACGCCTCGGATAGTAGTAGTAACGAGTGCTCAGAAGCCTTCATCATTGATTGCGAGAGCTGCGATTCTTCCGTTTCCAGCATCTCTATGTACGATTTGGATGACTTATCTTCGTCATCTGAGGAAGAAGATGACCATAAGGAGGGCATTAGGAATCGCAACAAAACCGAGAAGAAGAATCCATGTGTTGACTTGGGTCTTACTCATATGAATTATGATCACCAACGAAGGACTCGAAAAACGAAGCCGGAGAAACGAAATACCGTGGAGAGTAACACTGGTGAAAGTAATGCTGAGAGTAACACTGCCGTTGCCTACGAGTTGCGTCCACGAAAACGACGTAGCGGTACGAGAAGAGGAGGGCGACGATCTGACTCCAAAGAACCATCTCAGAACAATGCATCAATTCGATCACATTCGTCTATAGACAAGGAGAAAATGTTGCCAGAAGAAGATAGACCTTCTCATGAAAAGCGACCTTCGATGAGCGAAATGATTATGCGGGACATGGTCTCATCTTTGGACAAGGGGATGTTGCAAGATGAGCCTGCGCAAGAAAAGCGACCATCGATGAGCGAAATGGTCATGCAGGACATGATTTCCCGAGGTCTCTTCGACGATGAAGACGAGGAATCTTCGGAGGACGAGGATGACTCAGTCGAATCCGATCATGACGAAGTTGTTACAGCTGCTGTTGATGATGACAGCGACTGCTGGAGTGAATCCCTTCGCGCTGATCTCAAGTCTCCCAAGTCTCAGCATACCACGAAGAAACTAGCATCATCAGTACTACCGTCATCTACTGTTGGTGTGACATGGCCAAATCTTCGCCGCAGTATGACACCCGAACAGCGACAACTCGGAATCAGTGACCACGGGACGATCCATGATATGGATTCGGACGGTGATTCGTCTATGGACAACACAATGTACAGCGGTGGTTCTTCCAGCACCTCCCTGGAATACGACTCTGGAAGAGAGTCGTCCAAATCCTCGGCAGAGTCGGAATCGGAATCGTCCTTTGAGCAGGAATCTCTCACCAACCATAGCTTATCGAGCCGAATAGCATCCATGATACTGCTATCTCCCATTCGGCGATCTCAGAGTTCGCACGGTCAATCTCTTCCAGAGACGCTACAGCAACTTGAGAATAACGAGGAAGTACCAGCTCTTGAAGAATCTCCATCCAGCAGCCACTCGAGCATCATCCAATCTACATCGAATCGTCGCGATTCGTATCGTTCCGTATCCTCCGCAGAGGTCACGGCCAAACGAAACCAAGTCCAAAACAAGTTGGAGCAGTTGGACGCCCACATGCTCAAGGTGTTTGGAAAACAGTCGGCTCCAGAACTTTCCGAGACGACCCGGAACATGATACGTGATCATTTGACCGGCAGTTCCAACCAATATACCAAGACAAAGGATATCATCATGACGGCAGCAAATGGATACCGCATTTCAAACAAGAGTATCAGGAGAGAGAGCCAACTCTATCACATTGGTACCAGTCACAGTGCCACCAGTCTAAGCTTCCAAGCAAGCTCCAGACACCAAGACACCATGCTAAACCATTTACTACAAAACACTAGCAGCAAAAGTACCTCGGATCTATCGTCATTGGAAGCTAAGCGATCCAATGCCGAATTGAGCCGACGAAAACTACGAGAAGCCTTTCATACTCGTCTGAGTTTTACTGGCTAGTGCGTGCTTCGTGCTTTGCGGTTCAGTTCGCGATCGTTGTGTAGCAATCGTGCCATAATAGAAGAATGAGCGAGAGATGGAAACAGAAATCGTCAAATAGGTAGCTAGCTAGTAGTAGGTTCAAATAGCTACTACTAAAATAGCTGCCACCAGTGAGGATTCTTTCGTTTCAGATATAAAAACAATACAGTATAATATGAAATTGGAACCAAAAAAAAGGCAAAGTTAGGCCTCATTTTGAAAGTTGAGAGAGTCAGTCTAGAATCAGGCGGTTCTAGTATTTTAATACTTGTTGGATACCAATCTGTTTTTTAATAAAGCCTCCTGGAGGCGGAATTGTGAGCGCAAAATGCAGCAGAGTTTGTTTTGAGAACTCTTGAGAAACGCAGAACATTCTGAGTCGTTGTTCTGTTTGGGAAGATTTGAAATGGTTGGCGTTGGACGGGTTGCGCGTGCGTCAGATTGACAAAAAAAATAAAGACGCAGTAAAGCAAAAAAGAAATCTTTGGAAGTCATCCATGTTGTTTTGTACCAGTTTCTACGTAGAAGTGCAGGCTCATAACCAGCTTTTTCCGGCGGAATCGTCCCATGATCGTGACTTATTCGACGACATTTTTTTCCTGGCTATCATTATTCCGATGCAAGAGCGCTACTGGCTTCAGTCGACAGTAATACTTTCACTCGTTGACAAATAAAGCTCTGTTTTTCAAGTTGAACCTTAGCACCACACCAAGCTAAACACCCCTCACGCTCTGTTTACGGATATCAACATGGCGCTACTACGAAGACATCATCTAAAATCCTCTAAGAAGTTGACCAAAAATGGGTCATCGTTCGCATTAGCAACCAAAGCCAATAAGGTATCGACCACCTCCGTGGCCATTCCTGTGCCCACACGACGTGTTTCCGATCCAGATATTGATACTAGACATCAGCATCATCATCAGCCTCGAGACTTGGCATCTAGTGAAGACGCTTCGATTGCTTCTTCATCTTATTCAGATGAGGTCTCCTGTCAACCTGTGATCAACCAACTTCGGTCATCACAGGATGATGGCGCTCCCGTGATGGGTCTGAACTCTTCCACACCAAAATCCGTCTCAATTGTACCCGAATCAGTATCGGAATCAAAAGATAGCACTTTGAAGACACAACCCAATGGTGGTAATGCACAATTGTCCTTTCAAGACATGTTTCAGAAATGGCATTCCAATCGTATTGTCAAACGAAGGCTTCCGTCTGTGCAAGCCTTCCCTAAATTGTCCCCATTCGAAGGCTTTCATGAATCTAATACTGCACAAGGTTATACCTTTGGTCCTTACTTTGATCGCTGGTATGTCAAACAGCAGAAACGGTCGGCTGCGATGCCGTCGCCAAGTTCACGAAAACGACCCAGTCCCATCAACTATCCTTCCAATTCTGGCGACAATGCAGTGGCTTCACCAAATCCCCCCGCTCCCAAGAAACAAAAGTCTCAGTCTGAAGCATCTTCGATTCAGCAGCAACGAAATCTGAATAGCCTTCACAAATGGAATGCTGTCAATGCGCTGTATCGATCCGAGATTGTCGAATTACCGGTTTCCTTTGTTCCTGGACCTTACACTGTGATCATGGGACGCCGACTCAAGGCCCCAGGCTGCGTCCATCTTCGCTATGTAACGGATCAATATGCCAAGGAATACAAACAGAGTGACGCCATGGCCAAGTCGCGGATTGTCACCCTCATCCTCAAGATAATCTACGAAAAGGCTCCTATTGGGGCCTTTGTCAGATGCAAGGCACGACGCTATTACGAGGTGGAAGACTTGATTGCCCGGGAAAAGATTGTATCCGAACTCATTGCGGGTGGGTTGCAGATTTAAAACAAAAATTAAAGCAGCAGACTATAAACGACCACAATTATTTTGCGCCCCTGGGATGGAGCATATCAGGCAAGGTGGGGTTGGGTCCATGATATATACCGTATGCTACATACATACTCTCTGAATACACATAACTGAATATCTAATAGACGAACAATACATTACACACTATTGAATACACAGAATGATAGGCTAAGATACTAACTGCAGTAAGATATTGAGTGACCGTTTCGCCCGTTTCGCATTTTAGGTTCTCATTTCAAATGTCGATCAGAAAGAGGAAGAATCGACTAGCTCGACCATTCAAAAATATGAAAAGTCTAATTCTTATTTTTTTTAATAAATATTACATAATTGCACAAGGGTAGTGCCGCCATTCTCACTGTCCAATCTGCCAGCCCACGAAAATTTATAGAACGCACCTACCGAAGATATGTCCTGGCGTTGATTCATTCAATCCAGTGCCAAATTGAGCATAGTTTACGAAGCTCAATACCTTTGGGTCATTCTTCTTTTACGTGGTATCATCATTCATTTTTCATGACGAAGCAAGCCCAATCGATTGTGGACAGATTACGCAATCTGTGCTTTTATTGTCTTAGTGTTGATGATGATGATAGAGTTCTGTGCATCTCTCATGGAAATATGCTTTTACTGTACTGTGTGTACGTTGCATTCATTTTTAGCAGGCCTAGAGCAGTACCTCAAAGGCGAAGATCACAAAATCACATCAATATATCAGCATATGTGTACCGCGGTATAGCATTCTCCTCTTTCATGCCGGTGGTGTCAAGCTCTATTGTTGGAGCACATGATGATGTCTCTCTCATTCGGATAAACTCTTCAACCAGAAATGGCTCCATAAACTCTTCAACCAGAAATGGCAGCAATGACGTGAAAAGCTCAGCCACCAAAGCTGACGAATACACAGATGATGATAGTAATAAGGAGGCTGCCTGTAATAATAGTAGTAACTGGCTTCGGCAAGCTGCTGAATTATTGAACAGTCAGTGGCCCAAAGGTGGGTCCGTGGACGCCTACAAGGATAAATGCATCAATGAGCATCCGATCTCTAATCGTCAACAATCTGATGATGAATCCTCCTCTCCAAGCGTGTTCTATGGACTTCCATCAAGCTACCTTTTGATTCACGAAAATGAGTGCATTGGGTAGGTGATATGTATGACTCGCTGACTCACTGACTCACTGATTCTTTACAAGTGAATGCTAATTGTACATTGCATCTTTCTTCTTCTTACTTTTCCCCAATGCGCAATTTGAAGTCATGGCCGATTGACAGAGTGTTTTGAAAGCGCAGGAGGAAATGCAGCAGCAGTCACTTTTATTGTGATCCATTCGACAAAGCAATACCATGGATTTGGAAGGAAACTCATGGCATTGCTGGAAGAAGAGGCAAAGCGGTTGGGATATCATTATATTTATCTGTGGACCAAGACGGCCATTGGATTCTATGAAAAGATCGGATACGCGGAATGCCAACGAGTCTCATTGAAACGAGCTTGTCTCAAGAAATTGGTATCTGGAGAAGTGGAATCATTGGAGGCTCTACTAATGAAGCGTCAGTCCAAAATAAACATGGCTTTAAACGGAACTAACAGTACCAGTACGGCCGGCGAGAAGTGTAGTGCACGGGCGGTATTTGGTACGAAGAAGGAAACAATCCTCCTTCCGCCAGATGACAACGACCGCAACAATGACGTACCAGATGTTTGGATGAAGAAGCGGTTGGTGGAACGAGTTGGATCTATTCATATACCACTAGATCAGCGAATGTTGGAACTTGAAAAGGTTGCGGATGAATCTACAACTGAAGGTCAAAACAAGGATAATGACAACAGCTGTTGGTACTATCGGATTGTGTCAATACCTTGGCAGGCACAGATTGGGCCCTCTTGCGGACTCGCTGCATTACGAATGGGAAGGGAGTATTTCATGGCATCTGCAAATAATGGATCGCCCAGTGATGGGGACCAGCAACAGCTACCGTCACTGCTCCAAGAAGCCCAAGAACGAGGTTTTACTCAAGATGGGGAGATATTCGACGCCAATCACTTGAAGGAGATGGCAATTCATGTATGTGGTATTGACTCCGAAATAGTAAAAGTTCCAGAGTTGACCCCTAGCAAAGTGAATGCTACGTTAGCAAAAGGGGGTGTCTTTATACTTCCATACGATTCCAGTGCGAGAACGCGGTTGCCAGCGAAGCTATCGGGCCAAAGTGCGCACTATGGAATCATTGTTGGTATCGCCCTTGTAGCAGATAGCTTCATTGCAGCTAAAGATGATAAGACAATGGGGAAATTACAACCACTTGTACCGGAAAAGGAGAAGCTCTTGGACGGAGACCGAAGAAAAGTATATTTGATGGTGCAACATGGACTATCGCCAAATCTTTCCATTGCACCTTGGATTGCTTTCATGGAATCAAACGCACAACTGATTGGTTTTGATGAAAGCAAGTTTGGAACAGCCAAGCTCGACCTCAAAGGTCGAATCGTTGTTTGCAGAGGACTGCTAGAATCATAGGGTTGGTTACTGCACATAAGATATAAGCTACATACCATTGAATGATTCATCTATTAAACTCTGTCCATTTCGTTTCGGATGGTTTTAATAATTTCAACATTAGTATACATGGACGATGCGATGCCTTTACTTCTTTCTCATAAAATACAGTTCTGGATTTGTATAGATGTCATCATTCTCTTCAGTTTTGAATTCAGAAGACAGTTCAAAGTTCTGCGCGTCCAGGTCATATGTATCCTGGCGACCCATGTTGATGTCCCAAGCTGAGGATCCGTGAATTCCGCGGTCGGAACTTGTCTTCTTTTTCCGCTTCGGTTGGCCGGCCACAATGGACGGAGGTTTCATCTCTTTTACGGCATCTTTTGGATCGTGTTGCTCATTCCTCGGGCGTTGCTCATTCCTCGGGTTTTCATTCTTCTGTGAATGCTTTCGAAGCTTCCACTTCTTTCTCATCATTGGGTACAAGAATGCAAGCAGATTCGGAAGACCTTGAAGTGGCGACATTGCCGCTGCCAGGAAAAGCAAACCATATGGGACTGGTCTTCCAATCAGCTGCAATATCCTAACGCATGAGAGTGGCGTCCAAGTGATGTAGAAAGCCATTGCATATCGTAAGCATTGATTTGCGATTTCTTGTCTCCTCCTTGCGTACATTTTGATTTGCTGCTTTTGTTTCTTTCGAACAATTCTGGATACTCTACCATCATGATCTGCTGCATCTTCTGACGAGCCGATGCTTGCACTGTCGTCGAGTGGCCCCAAGCCTTCGCTATCTACATCTGCTGATGAGCTATCAGTACTAATTTCTTGTCCACAGTACATTTCGTCTTCGTCATTTCCTTTCGCATCTTGCGAAATATTCCTAACTGACTTTGATGGCATCCACTTGGTCACGTGTCCTTCCGCAACTTTTGTCACTCTATGGACGTATAGAAAGACAAAAATCAAGTTGATCCCGACAAATAGCATTGCTGACCACAATGGGACGTAAAAAAGAACCATTCGATACAGGTTCACGTCGAGATCTGGCCTGTCTTCTTGTGGCGCGATCCAGCACCAGAGGATCGCTGGCCCAATGATGTCCATAACAGTGACAGTGATAGAAGACGCAAGACCAAATCCAATTGGTATCAAGTGAAAAAGATGACCCCACTTGGCAAAATGCTTCTCTTTCCAACCATATTTGATCGCCAATAAGTAGAATGCACCCATCGAAGCAACGTACAAATGTGATGAGATGCTATACTGAGTGAAGAATCCTTGTATACGACACGTCGCTTCATTTCCAACAGCGAAAGCTGCACCTGAATCAGCTGGCATTGGCCATGTGCTCAAAAAATGTGCAAAACTGCTCAGCATATCAGCAAAGCACATCCCGATCACCAACCGGTTGTAGAATCCCTTCTTTGCATCTTCACTAAAGAATATGATGTACACTGCAGTCGAGAGACTGAATACGAAACTCAGTCCTCCTGAAATCTTGGGTATCAATTCGAGAGCTTCTTGCGATGATACCATTTCGTTTTTTGTGTGCGGTAGTGTTTTGGAAATACCGGTACAGCGAAGTATAAAATATATGTACCGGTATTATATATAGGTCTTTGATGGTTCCCGCGCAAATAATGACCGTTTTAGAACAAAAAACTTTTCTGAGCTTCTTTTCTGAGAGCGAATTGCAAAACACCGCCTGTAGAACAACACACATTCTACGTGGGCCCGCTGTAAAATGGTTCGAAATGCATATGCGCCCTTCTAAATTGAATTACGTGTGCGATATCATCATCTCTAAAGCAAAATCAAGATTGCGAAAAACGTGATTTAACACTGGTGCCATGCATGATAACAGTCATATGCTGCGGTTCGTACTGGTACCATCATAGTGTCGGCCCGGAAAAAAAGAGGGAGTGTCAAAACAACATTCGAGGAAACGGAACAATTTTTTGATTATTATGTAGATGTTTGACCTTAGCTGCTCCCTGACTCTTTGCACCCCATTGCAGAATTAGGAAGAATGAGAAATCCTCGGCACATTGCATTTTAATCTAACGATTGCAAGTTTTCTTGGACTATACCGTTACTTCTTTCTCATGAAGTACATTTCTGGACGCGTATAGATGTCATTCTGCTCCTCGCTTTTGATATCGGAAGATAGCTGAAAGTCATGCGTGTGCTGATACCCCATACTGAGACCCCAAGCTGAAGATCCATGAATGCCACGGATCTTCTTGTAAGTCGGGTGTGCTGGCTGGCTGGTCACAATGGCCGGAGGTTTCGTCTCTTCCACTCCCTCCTTAAGATTTTTTTGGTCGTTCTTCTGCGCTCGCTTTCGGTGCTTCCATTTCTTTCTGATCATCGGGTATAGGAAAGCAAGCAGATTTGGAAGCCCTTGTAGTGGCGTCATTACCACTGACATGACAAGCAAACCATATGGAACTGGTCTTTCGAAAAGCTGCAGTAGCCGAACGCACGACAATGGGGTCCAGGTGATGTAGAACGCCAAGGCAAATCGTAAGCACTGATATGCGATTTCGCGTCGCCTTCTTGCGTACATTTTGATTTGCTCTTTTTGTTTGTTTCGAACGATGGTCGACACTCTGCCACGTTCTTCTGGTGGTGCGTCCTCGGAAGAAGAAATGCTTCCACTGTCGTCGAGAGGCTCGTTAGTTTCATTTTCTTCTTCTTCTGAGCTATCGCTACTCAATTCTTGTCCGCAATAGATCTCTTCTTCTTCTTCGTCATCATTTGATTCAGCATCTTGCGAAAGATTCTTAACCGACTTTTCTGGCATCCATTTGACAACATGTTCTTCAGCCACTTTTGTCACTTTACGGACGTAAAGAAAGACAAAGATTAAGATTACACCGACAAATAACATTGCCAGCCACAATGGGACGTAGAACAAAGCCATTCGGTATAAGTTCACTGCGAGATCTGGCCTGTCGTCTTGAGGCGCGATCCAACACCAGAGGTTCGCTGGCCCAATGATATCCAAGACTGTGACAGCGATGGAAGATCCGAGTCCAAATCCAACCGGTACGAAATGGAAAAGAGGACCCCACTTGGCAAAATGCCTCTCTTTCCAACCGTATTTTATCGCCAGTAGGTAGAATGCACCGATTGAACCAACGTATAACTGGGATGAAATGCTGTATTGGATAAAGAAACCTTGTATACGGCACGTCGCCTCGTTTCCAGCAGCGATCACTGCGTCTGAATCGGTTGGCATGGGCCATGTGCTGAAGAAGAAAGCCAAACTGCTCAGCATATCTGCGAAGCACATCCCGATCACCAACCTATTGTAGAATCCCTTCTTTGTATCGTCACTAAAGAATATGATATATACCGCAGTCGAAAGACTGAATACGAAGCTCAGTCCTCCGGTAAACTTGGGTATTATTTCTAGTACTTCTTGCGATGAAACCATCGTGTTGTTATTGTTATTGTTCTCGTGTTAAAATTTCTTTGGAAATGTTCAATGTTGTAGGTTCACATGAAAAATGAACGCAGTTGGAGTTTACCGCCCTTCTGGGTTGCCCCTGCCACGTCCCGCCAATTAATTAAAGTCGCTTTCTTGTTTGAAAAATTATATATTGAACACAAACCAAAAATAGAAAAGTTAGTCCGGGGCAATCTGAAATCACGCACGACACCGTTCCATCAATCAAGAGATGCGTTCCACTGGACCCCCCGCAACTCGTCTATCGACCGACCGTTTCCGAATTTCACATCTCCGACTTCTTTGACTACCAAATGGTTTTCAATACACCCCTGAGCCGGGGCATTGTTGTAGCAAAATATTGTTTTTGATCGGTTTCGTGTTGCAGTGACGTGTTTCGATTTCTTTGATCGGTTTCAAAATCGTTTGATCGGTTTCGTGTCGCAGTGACTTGTTTCGATTTCTTTGATCGGTTTCAAAATGGTTTGATCGGTTTCTTGTCGCAGTGACTTGTTTGATCGGTTTCAAAAAGTCGTTTTAATTTATGAGGGGCTCCCTGCTGGCGGGGGGGAAGACCGTGCGTAGTAATCGCGTCCGACGCTCAAAAATCGGTGGATGGACAGACGAGTTGCGGGGAGTCCTGTTTCTTCAATAATATGTAAGGGACGGTTATACCGGTAGGGACAATGGACGTCATGACTGGACTAGCTTCTGAATTGTTCCTTGAGTATATGTGGGCTACTTTGGCTGTGGAATTCTGGATCTTGTGCAGTCTGAAACGCGGTACTCCAAAGACAATCTTGGAAGTTCGGGACATGTTTATTTTGAAAGACCGAGAAAAACAACGTGGTAGCGGGACCCTTTCTAAGCAAACCATGAAAGCTTGATCAATAGTTACTTTTTTTCTTACACGCTTTTTACGTACATCCATCTATTATCCCGAATGACAAGAATTGCGGAAAATTATTTTGCGCGAAATCTTCACGATCTTGAAGTGACTAATTGAATGGTATACCGGTAGACCCGACGGTACATGCAACATGCGATTTCTCTATAACTATACAGTACTCCAAATATACATCATCAATTTACAGTGCAGTATACATGAGGCCCATTTTGTTGTGGCTTGAATCTTTTCTTAATAGCATGAGTAATATATCACTAGGACTACTATGAAGTACAACAGTCAAGAAACTGGAGTCATATTTTAAACTGCTATCTACAATGTCATCGATTGATAATGTTGTTCAGTAAAAGTGGATAGACTTCACTTGCAGTGTACGCTTGCTCCCAGCGAGGACAAGCCATAGCATGCGTCGCTCGAGCTTAGCCGCTACCTGACTCTTCGGCAAAGGAGAAATCCTATCCTCGGCTTGCATATATAAATCTGATAATCCAATCATTGATATTTGGACACTGCCACTACTTCTTTCTCATAAAGTATAATTCAGGACGTGTATAGATATCATTCTGTTCGTCACTATCGGAAGACAGCTGAAAGTCATGCGTGTGCTGATGTCCCATGCTGATACCCCAAGCTGAAGATCCGTGAATTCCACGGATCTTCTTGTAGCAGATCGGGGGCGGCTGACTTGTTGCTTTGGCTTTAGGTGTCGATTCTTCCATCGCCTCCTTTCCATTCTTTTGGTTGTCCTTCTGCGCACGATTCCGGCGTCTCCATTTCTTTCTCATCATTGGGTACAAAAATGCAAGCAGGTTCGGAAGACCTTGCAGTGGCGTCATGACCGCTGACATGACAAGCAAGCCATGTGGGACGGGTCTTTCGAAAAGCTGCAGTATCCGAACGCAAGATAGTGGCGTCCAGGTGATGTAGAACGCCAAGGCAAATCGTAAGCACTGGTATGCGATTTGCCGTCGCCTTCTTGCGTACATTTTGATTTGTTCTTCTTGTTTGTTTCGAACAATGCTGGACAATCCTACTTCGCCATTTTCTGCATCCTCGGACGGAGATGTTCTTGCACTGTCTTCGAGGGGTTGGTGAATTTCAGTATCTTCTCGTGATGAGCTATCGGTGCTAATGTCTTGTCCACAGTAGATTTCGTCTTTGCCATTGTTGACTTCAGCGGCTTGGGAAATTACCTTAGCCGTCTCTTCAGGCATCCATTTGGTAACATGCCCTTCAGCTACTTTTGTCACTCTGTGGACGTAGAGAAAGACGAAAATCAAGTTGACTCCAACAAAGACCATAGCCGCCCATAGCGGTGCGTAGAACAGAGCCATTCGATACGGGTTTACATCGAGCTCTGGCCTGTCTTCTTGAGGTGCGATCCAACACCAAAGGTTTGCTGGCCCAATGATATCTAGTGCTGTCACGGTAATGGAAGAACCGAGTCCGAATCCAACTGGTATCAAGTGAAACAGAGGACCCCACTTGGTAAAATGCCTCTCTTTCCAACCATATTTGATTGCCAGTAGGTAGAATGCTCCAATCGAAGCAACGTATAGTTGCGAGGCAATGCCGTATTGGGTGAAGAATCCTTGAACTCTACATGTTGTCTCATTTCCAGCAGCGAATATTGCATCTGAATCGGTTGGCATCGGCCATGTGCTGAAGAAGCAAGCCAAACTGCTCAGCATATCAGCAAAACACATCCCAACCACCAGTCTGTTGTAGAACCCCCTCTTGGCATCTTCACTGAAGAATATGATGTATGATGCAGTCGAAAGACTGAATACGAAGCTCAGTCCTCCGGTAAACTTGGGTATTATTTCTAGAACTTCTTGCGCTGAAACCATCTTGTTGTTTTCATTGAATCTGAAAATTGTAAATCTATTTTCGGGTAGAAAAAATGACCATCTAGTATATTATTGCGCCTTTCTAAATTGACTCCTGCCACCTCGCTGTCTTGGTTGAAAAAAATATTTAAAGGCACAACTATGAAAAAATAGAAAAGCTTGCGTAGGTATTGTACCGAGGCGGTATTCATACTCAATACTGTAACTTCCAAATCAATCAAGCCGTCATTACTCAATGTAGTAACTTCCAAATCAATCAACACGTCATGCGAGAAGCGAATCACAAAGAATTCCTCTAATACTAATACATTCGGTTGCTCCAATCGGCATAGTAGAATATCTTCCCTATTGTGCAACGAAAATATCAGCCTATACAGTATGCATGCTCACTTTTTGGGCATGTATCTGATGATTCATTCGATAGACAATGGTTGGTAGTTGATAATAACGTAAAAACTCCAATACTATTTTCTCATAAAGTACATTTCTGGATGCGTATAGATCTCATTCTGCTCCTCACTTTTGATATCGGAAGAAAGAGCATAGTCTTCCGGGTGCAGGTCATATGTGTGCTGCATACTGAGGCCCCAAGCTGAAGTTCCGTGAATGCCACGGATCTTCCTGTAGGTTGCTGGCGGCTGCTGGCTAGGCGCAATGGCAGCTGAAGGTTCAATCTGTTCCACGGCATCTTTTGGCTTCTGTTGATCTTCCTTGTTCTGTTCGGCGTACTTCCGCGCTTGCTTTCGAAACTTAAACTTCTTTCTAATCATCGGGTACAAAAATGCGAGCAGATTCGGAAGACCTTGCAGTGGCGACATTATCGCTGAGAAGACAAGCAAACCATATGGAATTGGTCTTCCCAAAAGTTGCAGTATCCGTACCCATGATAGTGGCATCCAGGTGATGTAGAACGCCAAGGCAAATCGTAAGCACTGATATGCGATTTCGCGACGCCTCCTTGCGTACATTTTGATTTGCTCTTCTTGTTTGTTTCGAACAATGGTGGACACTCTACCATGATCTGGTCCTGCGTCCTCAGAAGACGACGTGCTTCCACTGTCGTCGAGTGGTTCGTTGTTCTCGTTTTCTTCTCCGGATGAGCTATCGCTGCTGACGACTTGCCCACAATATATTTCTTCTTCTTCGTCATTTGATTCAGCATCTTCGGCAATAACCCTAGCTGTCTTTGACTGTTCAGGCATCCATTTGGCAACATGCCCTTCAGCTACTTTTGTCACTCTGTGGACGTAGAGAAAGACAAAGAACAAGTTGACTCCAACAAAGACCATAGCCGCCCATAGCGGTGCGTAGAACAGAGCCATTCGATACGGGTTTACATCAAGCTCTGGTCTGTCCGCTTGAGGTGCGATCCAACACCAAAGGTTTGCTGGCCCAATGATATCCAGTGCTGTCACGGTAATGGACGATCCGAGTCCGAATCCGACCGGTACGAAATGAAAAAGAGGACCCCATTTTGCAAAATGCCTCTCTTTCCATCCATATTTGATCGCCAATATGTAGAATGCCCCAATCGAAGCAACGTATAGTTGGGAGGCAATGCTGTACTGTGTGAAGAAACCTTGTATACGGCACGTCGCTTCATTTCCAGCAGCGAATATTGCGTCTGAATCGGTTGGCATGGGCCATGTGCTGAAGAAGAATGCCAAACTGCTCAACATATCTGCGAAGCACATCCCAACCACCAGTCTGTTGTAGAACCCCCTCTTTGCATCTTCACTGAAGAATATGATGTATGTTGCAGTTGAAAGACTGAATATGAAACTCAGTCCTCCGGTGAACTTGGGTATTATTTCTAAGATTTCTTGCGATGAAGCCATCTTTGTATTACATGTAAGAATGTATGTGTTGTAGAATATTGTAAAGTTCAGTATTTGATGTGTGAAGTTCACATTGCATTGGTGTGGAGAAGCGCCCTTGAGATTTCTAAAAGTATCAATGCGAACTCGGATGCTTCGCAAGAGTCTCGTTCCCGCAATCTCGCGAGTGGCAGGTCGCGCTGACTATTGTTTCTCCGAAATGAAGTTCGTCACACAATAAAAGTCACCAATCGATTCAAATTGTGGCTTTAGACATACCGGTACATAGGCATACCTATTATATACTAACTTTGAACTACAACGATCCAAATATAGGTCTTCTTCTCAAATGTTACATTTTTGTGAGTCGACGTAGTTCGTACTGTGATAATATATTTCTCCAATTGGTTGTTTGTTCCCCAGCCGCAGATGCAGTTTTAACCCATAAGACCCGAGTCCACGAAAAAGGAGATTTTTTCACCCCATCTTTTGGCCATCGCTAAAAAAATATCACCATAGAAATTTAAAATGGTCATTTTTAGAAGACGTCGCATAGGAACGCCGATTTGACGGTTCGACGCGCATTGGGCTGACGATTTTAGCCCTATACTCAAAAGTAGTTTGCGACAATTTTTGATCTTGTGACGACAAATTTACTGATTCGCATCACCATTCACGATGGGAAGATGATTGACGGTGAAAACGGAAGCTAAAGTAGGTAACTACGCCGCCTGCAACACATACATCATCTACGATACGTGTACCACCAGATCGATTTGCAGTCATGCAAGGTCAGAGAAGTGGTGTGTGATAGTTATCGAGAAAATGAAAGAAGCTACTGCAGAATATAGGCTCGAAACGACACGACCGACAAGTGACAATTGAAGAATTCCTTTTCGCTTCCCTGACTTTGTCCCCGAGGTATAAGGTCTGTTGGTTGTTATGTTGGAGAGCTACTGTGATTTCCAGTGTTGCTGTGGCAGTTGCTGGTGGCAATTGATGAAGATGTTGATGAGAATGGCGAAGACTGCCGCTGTGAAGAGAGTGGAATGAATTAAAGAAGACGAAGAGTCGTAGGTAATGTAGTCTAGGCTTGTCTGTAGGTAATAGGCCGGCTTTGTTACGTATTCCCTCAGTACTGTAGTATCGGCACATGGTAGTGTTGACAAAGGTGATGTCTTGGATGCCATTTTGCTTCTATTTTGGTTCTAAGCAAAATTCAACGAGGCGCTTGGTAGAATTTGAGCGCGAACCCGGTATTTTCCGTACGTCATCAGTTTCGGAACCCATCGCGCACCTCTATGCGCTCGCCCGTTGAGAATTCTTCAATCACATCAATTTTCCCTTCCATCGGCAATGGTGAGCCTCGAGGCCGAGGAAAGCATCACCCTCTGGAGGAAAACTCGTGGGTCGCGGACAGTCTCTGTACAATGACCTTCTGTATCTTGTTTGTATGAAGCGATATGGATGAATTTGCTCCTTTCACCTCTGAAATCACTGCTAAAGAACCTCAACAAGGTCTGAAAACTACTTTTGGAGAGGTTTCGGGACGTCTACGAAGTCCCAAGGCAACATAGAGCTAGAATTTTCTGCGGAAGTTGCTTCTCTTACTATACTAACGGCAATGATACCATTTAATGTGCATTATCTGGGTTCCTACAGGACGATTTTCAACCGAGACCATTGAGTTGCAAATTCGTCGGTCACAATGAAATTGCACGGCCTGGACCCCATGAGTGGAGAAAGTGGAATCAGAGGTTGTGTCAAGCATAGTTGATATATATGTTACGTCGGGAGCGACTGTAATTATGTTGAATAGATTTTGCTTGGCCGCAATCACACAATAATCCACCATGATTGGTTCTGTTGGTTGCTTGGACTGGACGGAGAGGTGTCAAGAAGACGTATTTGCCGAATGCGACTCGTATCTACCGTCATCATCAAGACAAGATCTACAAGGAGACTCGTTTGCAGTGTCCAAATACCAAAATTGACAATTTGGAGCACATAAAGGTGCCAAGAAGCGATTGTTCCCCTCGTTTGGACAAGCCAGTGTGGACGCCCAGAGAAGTAAAAACCGCCGAACATGTTGTGGCAAGCGTATTTGATAGATGGACTATGGCTGGAGCGGCGATTCATACTTCTATTTGCCTCAATTACACTACAATCTGCCCTGCTTCGTTCGGCTGGTTCCGTTGGGTTTCAGAAAATGGTCGGCAGAAAGTCAAGAGGGTCAATGCCTCATATTCAACATGTGCTGGAAAGCTCGGCAGTGATCCTACCTACTCGGGGATCCATTCGGTTATGTTTTGTTTTGAATATTCGCTGAGATATTGGAATTCCAGTGTTTGGTGCTGTATGTTCCCCTTTCGGCATGAAGGTCGGCGTGGCCGCCCTGGAGACAGCCAACCATTCAACAATACACCAGAGCCTCCCTTGGATACCTATTATTCAAATTTTCTGGGACCCAGGCAATGGTTCCCCCTAGATTAAGAATCATGCGGCCCAAAGGGGGTCAGAAATCATGGAAATCTGGTCCAAAAAGCCACTTGGTGGTGGTGTGGGCCAAATTTCCTAAAAATGCCTTGTTCTAACACATATTTGTCTTCCATGGGTATGTATGAGAAGATTGGTGGCTTTGGAGTGGACGTTTTCTAGGTAAAAGTGATTGAATGGCACTCACACTGCTTTGGAGATCAATCCTGGTTCATCAAAGAATGTGGCTGGAATCCTTCCCAGTAGCCGAGTCGATACCCTTACACGATGGCACAAAGTTCAAAGTTGTCAAAATGCATATAGTAATCGAATTTGGGCGGTGGTTTGGAGGGCTTTGGTGGAAAAAAGATTCTAGGCTAGCATAATTTTTTCCTCTCTTTACTACTCTTTTCAATTGACTTTGTGGAATGGCCTGGAATATGATCGATTCTACACTAAGATCTCTGATTCAGAGTGGACATAATCCTAGCAAAGATATATAATTATAACACCGCATCGAAATTTATCTAAGAATGTAATCGCAACAAGGTCGTATGGTACGAGATCGGCCTCTGGCCTCTACAGTTTTTTCGGTACGTCATTAGTTTCCGAACCCATCGCGCACCTCTATGCGCTCGCCTGTTTAGAATTCTTCAATCACATCAATTTTCCCTTCCATCGACAATGGTGAGCCTTGAGGCCGAGGAAATCATCACCCTTTGGAGGAAAACTCGTGGGTCGCGGACATACTCTGTATCATAACCATACGAATCTTGTTTGTGTGGAGCGAAATGGATGAATTTCCCCCTTTCACCTCTGAAATCACTGCCAAAGAACCTCAAAAAGGTCTGAAAACTAGTTTGGGTGAGGTTTCGGGACGTCTACGAAGTCCCTAGGCAACATAGATCTAGAACTTTCTGCGGAAGTTGCTTCTCTTATTATACTAAAGGCAATACACCATTTAATGTGCATTATCTGGGTTCCTACAGGACGATTTTCATCCAGGACCATTGAGTTGCAAGTTCGTCGGTCACAAGGAAATTGCACGGCCTGGACCCCAGGCGTGGAGAAAGTGGAATCAGAGGCTATGGCAAGCATAGTTGATATATATATTACGTTGGGAGCGGCGGTAATTATGTTGAATATATTTTGCTTGGCCGTAATCACACAATAATCCACCATGATTGGTTCTGTTGGTTGCTTGGACTGGACGGAGAGGTGTCAAGAAGACGTATTTGCCGAATGCGACTCGTATCTACCGTCATCATCAAGACAAGATCTACACGGAGACTCGTTTGTAGTGTCCAAATACCAAAATTGACAATTTGGAGCACATAAAGGTGCCATGGTGCGATTGTTCCCCTCGTTTGGACAAGCCAGTGTGGACGCCCAGAGAAGTAAAAACCGCCGAACATGGTGTGGCAAGCGTATTTGATAGATAGACTATCGTTGGAGCGGCGGTTCATACTTCAAATCGCCTCAATTACACTACAATCTGCCCTGCTTCGTTCGGCTGGTTCCGTTGGGTTTCAGAAACTGGTCGGCAGAAAGTCAAGAGGGTCAATGCCTCATATTCAACATGTGCTGGAAAGCTCGGCAGTGATCTTACCTACTCGGGGATCCATTCGGTTGTGCTTTGTTTGGAATATTCGCTGAGATATTGGAATTCCAGTGTTTGGTGCTGTATGTTCCCCTTTCGGCATGAAGGTCGGCGTGGCCGCCCTGGAGACAGCCAACCATTCAACAATACACCAGAGCCTCCCTTGGATACCTATTATTCAAATTTTCTGGGACCCAGGCAATGGTTCCCCCTAGATTAAGAATCATGCGGCCCAAAGGGGGTCAGAAATCATGGAAATCTGGTCCAAAAAGCCACTTGGTGGTGGTGTGGGCCAAATTTCCTAAAAATGCCTTGTTCTAACACATATTTGTCTTCCATGGGTATGTATGAGAAGATTGGTGGCTTTGGAGTGGACGTTTTCTAGGTAAAAGTGATTGAATGGCACTCACACTGCTTTGGAGATCAATCCTGGTTCATCAAAGAATGTGGCTGGAATCCTTCCCAGTAGCCGAGTCGATACCCTTACACGATGGCACAAAGTTCAAAGTTGTCAAAATGCATATAGTAATCGAATTTGGGCGGTGGTTTGGAGGGCTTTGGTGGAAAAAAGATTCTAGGCTAGCATAATTTTTTCCTCTCTTTACTACTCTTTTCAATTGACTTTGTGGAATGGCCTGGAATATGATCGATTCTACACTAAGATCTCTGATTCAGAGTGGACATAATCCTAGCAAAGATATATAATTATAACACCGCATCGAAATTTATCTAAGAATGTAATCGCAACAAGGTCGTATGGTACGAGATCGGCCTCTGGCCTCTACAGTTTTTTCTTCGTAGTCACATGAGTCAAATTAAAGTCGACTGAGTCAAAATGGGTAACGGCAAATAACAGCCGTTTTGTTTTGTGTAGTGGAGGCCCTCTAAGAGCTCATTGGGACTCGTAATTTTCTGGAAGGGATGATCAAAGTATTCTCTAGCCCATTGAAAAGGTTCTAGGTGCAAAGGAGCTTTTTGAAAATTTTGCTTTGTCACCAGAATTCCAAATTCCGGCCAAATATTGGGCACGCGATTCGTGGATCGGGGTCATAAAAGAATGAATGCGTCCCATTAGCCCAAATAATCCCGTCCCGTCGGCATTCCTGCATCGTTTGAAAATATATATACATACATATATGTCAAATAGTAGTATGTCAGTAGTTGTAATCAGAATTGATTGATTGCACCGAAACCATCATGAGCACTATTGAATCATGAGCACTATTGAAAAACGAACGATCTCGTGAACTTTCTTGTCGAGACCGCACCAATGGATCCGTATGCCCAATTGCCACGACATCTCCTATGCCTGCAGTCAGTGAGTCCCCACCATCGTATTATAATGCAGCTCACTCGAATTCCTTCAATATCATGGAGGCAATTCGAAATTTGGCCTTGAGTGCCTTCCAATTCATTTCTTTCTTTTCCTGTTCCCTTTGCTGTTTTGCTTGTGCCTTGGTGGCTGCTTTTGGAGGAGGCGTTGCGGCTCCTGCTGCTGCTGCTGCTGCACTTGGTGTTGGCGGTGCTTTGCGTTGTTGAGCTGCCACGGAAGGCAACTTGTTTTTGGTTTTGCGTGGTGATGAGTACTGTGCTGCGTAGGAGGAGGGTGGAGGTTTCTTGGGTGATTGGGGTGTCTGTGGTGTAGGTGGTGTCGTTATCGTCGCCTGTTGGTGGCCCGCTTGGAACCGTCTGGGAGGAGAGTAGAACTTTGCTTTCTTTTTGCCTCGTTTCTCGGGTGAACCCTTGTCCAAGGCAGTGTCCATTGTCAGAAAAGTGAGTTCGTCATCCTCCACAGTTGTATCCTGCTTGCTGTCAAAAGTAACCCAAAGCGTCGATGATTGTTCATCCGTCTCATTGAGTGCAGGAAGAGGATCGTCGGCGGAACCTGCATTTGGCTGTCCAATATTGTTACTTCGTCTGATAATTTCCACATCATCCTTGACATTGTTAGTCGTGGCGCAAGGCCAGAACGATGCATCGTTTCCCTCCTGTTCTCGCAGCAATTCATTTTGAGACCGGGCCTTTTTCTTTGGTTCGGCCGTAGCACTGGTACTTGCGTTGCTCCCGAAGGGATCTTCCCAACACGAGAGCCAGGATTGAAACTTGGTAATCCAATTCTCCGATGCCTCGGTATGGACCGACTTGTTGTCCAACTCCATATCATCATCATGATCATGATCATCGCAATCATCATCGTTGCCACTAAAGTCGGAATCTCCCGCATCCGAAGCATTCTCGGCGACTATATTATTCTCCTGGATGGTTTCACTGCTCCTTCGTTTGGACATGTTGTTGACCGCCTTGAGTGATTCTGGCATGGCCTGCTGAAAGTAACAGATAAACAAACGCTGGGCTCGTTCCAATCGATGATGACTCCCCTCTTGAAAGTGCGCAATGGCCGTATCGTCATCCTTGGCAGCATGGTCACTGCTGCTATTAGGTCCACCACCACCACCACCACTACTGGAATCTCCCTCTTCTTGTGAATGCGAATCGTTGAAATTGCTAGGCGACAACGTCAAGGGGGGCCGATAGATCAAACAACGATCCTTATCGTGATAATCTTGAATCCAATACAGAACCTCTTGATAGAGATGCGAGTTTTGGGTGATGGAATACCAGACTCGACCAATCAATTGGGTGGGTGCCAACAACAGATCCTCTTCATTCCCCGAATAATCTTCCACAATCACCTTGAGTTCCATGAATTTGACCCAGAGTTCAATCAATTTGGATCGTTGGGCTGGCTTCCATTGAGGTGCATATTGCAAAACCGCCTCCTCCATGTCGTTCCAAACGGGAATGGGTTGCGAGAGGACACTTCGAAAGACTCGGGATTTGGTCATGAGTTCCATTTCAAAATCCCAAGCGTCTTCGGTTCGTGGATGTTCGGATCGTTCCGTCAGATTGGTCATTTGGGCGGTGGTTTTGGTTTCGGCGACTGATGATGCTGCAACTTTTCCTTTTGTTATTCGAGACGACGTGTCGGCATGACTTTCGTCCGCTGGAAATTCGACTGGGGAACCTCGATCGGCTTCTTCTTCTTGCTGATGTTGTTGATGATGAACTGGTGGCCTCGTCAATTCAGGTGACATGTAATCACTGGAATCATCTCCTATTGGAAATAACACCATGTCATCTGGCATGTCGCCATGATCTCGTTGAATCCTTGGTGGACTGGACATTTTAGTATTGTTCTGATATGATTGTTGGCTAGTATTTTGTATTTTAGGCGAACGAATTGATTTTCAGATTCGATACACCGTGTATTCTGAATCCAACCGGCTAAGAATAACTGACTCTATACGGAGTCACGCTCTTATTGCTGCAGTCTGGTCGTTGAAAATGTAAATTACTGGCTGAGAAGATTGCTAGTTGTAACCCATCAATCAAACAATCAAACAAGGTGAGAAAACAAAGCTTGTTTCCAACCAAACTCTTTCTGTTGACGCGTCGGTCTGGTTTGCAGGTTAGGAGAGGCGGAGCACCTTCCAGGATGGACCGCGTACACACAACGTCAGATGCGGAGGGAGATTGGATAGACGAAAAAAGTCTCACGGACTTGAAAACAGCCGACGAACACATATATTTCGAACTAAATACTCTTCTGCGCGAACATGGCCTGCTTGAGGTGCGCGCAAATACATACACCTCCAAAAGATCGGAAACGACTCCAACACGTGTCATGGTGAGCCAAAATGTCCAATATCGGATTGGTTCGACCAATGAGACCGTGGAGTATCGCATCCATACAATATCTTCCTTATTGTTGGAAGTTACAAATGAAACAAGTGTTCATGTACCGTATAGGACCTTGATGCGATTCCAACTCATTTTTGGTTGCATGGGTTGGAGTCGAACTATGTAACAATGAATGAATCAATCATTCCGGACAATAGTATGGTGGTGTGTGAGGAGATCTCCTTCTTCTAGCAGCAGGCAGTACTCCCCATCAGGGACCCCATTATTTCTTTTAAAATTCCGGTCGTATATCTTGGCCACAATTCTCTTTTTCTACTGAAATATCTCTCTGGAATATCCTTAGATACTTATGCAGTTATCCATTGCAGGACTTTATTGCAGATTCTTATTTTGACGGTCACTAAAATATTCCGGAACAATTTCATTTATGTTTCCCATCCATGAAATTATTTCAGACGATTATTTCAAATTTCCTCCCCCCTAATGTATCCCATTATTGTCAACAAACCCTAAATCTGTGACAACTTGTTGTGGACAATTGGTCTAATCCAAACAAATGGTTGGAATAAAATTAGTGGTTTACTATATTGTAACAGCCTGTTAACTTTTGGCATAAAATGCTGCAATTTGCTGTTACACTTTCAGTCTAGTGTTTACGCTTGAAACACATTCCAGAGGCAAGTGTCTGAATGATGCTGCTGCATTCTTTTCTCAGGATATAATGGCAAATGTAATTGTATCCACACAATGGTAACTTTAAAATTGTATAAATATGAACTATGAATGTATTGTACCAATTAGACTCCATATACTGCTAGATCAGCCCAGTTGTTTTGGATCACAACCTGATCCGCTGGGGCAGGAGCAACTTCCTCTGCGTTCAATATGAAAGTTGTCTCAAATTGAAGTCCTAGAGTTTCATCAGCACGCTGCTCCTTGATCCTACTGAACAATTTGTTGAACAAAGTGTAACCCTCCTCACTCCAACCCTCAGCCTTCCTGGAGCCCCGACCACTCCCGGTGAATTTAAAGTCACCAACTATTCTGCATTCTTGTGCTGCTAAGGGGACATGGGACTCCGAGCTGTCACTACCAGGAGAGTCAGAATCCCCTTCCAGCCTCCTTGCATCAGGAGAGTCATTTCCATTGTTAGTCCCAATACCACCACTGGCCTCAGCCTCAGCAAGTTTTTTCTCCGCCTCCGCCTTCCATGCCTCATACCCATTGTCATATGCAAGCACCAAAAAAGCCTCAAGACATTCAGGCACAAATCCTGATATAGTCTTTTTCATTGACAAGGCAGTAAACTTCTGTCCATAAATCGCCCTCATGAAGTTCTTCAAGAACAGAATGTAGATGTCAGTGTTCTCCCGCAGTCCAGCAATATTGCCCTCTGCCCCTACCGAATATACCATGCTTGGTTCTGGAGGCTGAACCCTTTCTGGGTTCATGAACATGCCTGGTATGATAAGGTTAGTGGGGGTACTAATACTACATGCTAACCATGACACCAGTATTACTCACCAATGACCAGACCCTTCAAAGTGTTGCTCAACGTCTGTCTTTTACTATTCAGAGCCTTCCGATAGGCATTTTTTCCACTAGCCTGCCACCAAGCAATCAAAGCTCGTTTAGATGCCCTGATCTTTGTATCCTGTAAACAGGCTTTATAAATGGGACCATTGGCATCTAAGTCACGTAAATTGATGAGAAAAATTTGATAACGAAAGAATTTAGTTGTACAGGATCTTCACACAAGACTGCTCCACTGTTCATGCTCATTACTTTGATCCTTAAAGGGTTGGGATTCCAGCTCCACTTCCACGCTTTGACCTGGAGGAAACCTTTGCATTTTTGTGTGTCAGAGAAGTTATGAAAAAAATTGCTCCCTCCAACGCCCTTTTGCTGCCACTTTCTGATCTACCTGTCACTTCAGTACTGTACTAGTACTAGCTCTACTGCTGTCATTGGTGCGCCTTGGTGCACTGTAGACTTTCTTACCCAGTCTACACACACACAAAATGGCGCGATTCTGCGCCATAGTTTTGTGTCCTTTTGCATGTCCTGACTTCTCTGACTATCGACAATTGACTTAACAGGATTAATCCAACAAACTGCGACCAAAAAACCAGTCCCCTTTTTCTCCCTCAAAACGTAGTTTTCACTGTATTTGCACCAAATTGCCCCTTTTTACCGCCGCACCCACAACACACAACACCAAGAATACGATTGATCCAACTGTCGATGGCTTCGAGGATTTACAATCGCCCACCAGAAATTCATCAGGACACAAAACAAAAGTACTATTATTTTTGTTAGAGTAGTATGTCGCTGTTTGCTATTGCTATGCTTTCATTTCCTCTTCTCTTTTGAGCAAAGAAAATGTTGTCGTCGTCGTCGTCGTCGTCGTCATCGTCGCATCAAACTTTCATCTTGTCTTCAAAGTTTTTGCTGTCTCCTCTGACCTCCCTTCCCTAACCTAAAGAAACTTCGAAAGATGGCTCCTCTTTTTTTGTACAAGGATGGGTGTCTCTCAACACCCTTGCCATTGCCCATACAATCCCTTCTCTTCGTATGGTTTCATCCGGGTTACCCGGTTATCAACTTTCCCGCAAGTACACCTAAATTTCGGGAATTTCTAGGATTCGCTGAAAACACACTTACTTTCGGGATAGTTGATAACCTGGAAAAGGAAATCGAATTCGAATAATAAAATACGTATGAAATCGAATACCAATAATAAAATACATATTGAAATCGAGTACGAATAATAAAATACGTATTGAAATCGAATACGAATAATAGAATAGAATACTTTTTTGACATCACTGGCTAATAGCGCCCCCTTTTCAACAACGTTCTTTTTTTGCCAACGTTATTTTTAAAAAACCTCATTTATATACGATATTTTTTAAAAAACAATTCCTACGCTTTTTGTTAATTAAATTTGTTTTAAAAACACTTAGACGATTTCAAACAGAAGCATTTACTTGTACAGCATTGTTCCTTCAATACAATGAGGTGTGTGCAAACATTGCCAACACCACCCTCAAACACTGTAGTACAAGCAGCTTCAGCCATGGACTGTGGAGATGGCTCATCCCAAGCTACCAAAGTAGGGCCCAATAAACCACCCCAAACCTCCCAAAAAAGGTCTCAAGAAGATGTTTCACGCTTAAACAGGAATGGAAACACTGCAAAGAAAAAGAAACATGAAGGGGTTGTCATAGACCTTTGTCAGGATTATAATGTTCCAGAGCTCCAACAGCAGCTATTCCAAGCAGCACCTACAGAGGAACTGGTTTCCTCTCTAATTGGATCTACTGGTCTTTCTTTCTCACGGGAATCCAAAAACTATAGTAGGAGTGTTGCTGTATATATATTCTTTTTCAGTAGGAACCTTGGTGTAAAGCCCTACGAACTTTTCAACAACAAACTCATGGGATACTTCCTCAAGAAAGGTGTAAGCAGAAACTTTGGAGTTTTCTTGGATCCAATATACAAAGGCAATTTGGAGGAACATATTCTCAAGATGAAACAGTACAATATCGCTCTAGTAGAAGAAAGGATGAGGGTTGTGGAAAACGTTTTGCCAAAGTCCCCTGGACCACAACAGAAGTCAATTGTAACACTGACTAGGGATGCTTGGGACATGCTCATCGTTAGTTCCACTATTTCCCATTGCTTGCGGTATGCATTGGAGTGCATCAATCCAAAAACATGTATCTCATTTGCTACAACCTTTCGACAAGCTGTGGAAATGACAGAAGATTGTTTGACAATGGAGCAATACCGGGAAAGAGCAATCAATCTGTTACTTGCTTTGTCCAGTGCAGTTGGACCCCACCGTTCATTGGACAAACAAATATCAGCAGTCCTTCAGGATCCAAAGTCAACCCCAAGGCAACTTGCACAATTAGTTGACCAGCAGGGTCAAAACAAAAATCCAGAACAAGCAGAACGTCTTGCTTCTCATTTCAAAGTGTTGCTGTTGGCCATATCCAAGTTTAAGCCCAATGTGACAACACGCAATCTTTCAAAAAAGACACTTTGCCATGATGGTGGCAAGACAAAAGGGGACTACTTTAATATTTGGTTGCCTACACTAGCTGTTGGCTTCTACAGCCTGGTTATCTTTCCTCGGGACACCAAAGCAGTCAACAAATTGAAAGAAGATCTAAACCTATGCCTAGGTGGTGCACAAAGGCTGCAGCCAAGAAAGCCTTCCAAAAAGCCACCAGCTAAACCCTCACAAAGAACAAGGGTTGGCCCTTTACCCACCCAATCACCCATTACTCAAAACAATTCTCCAGCAGAACCACCACCACCACCAGCAGCAGCACCACCAGCAGACCATGATGATGACCAATCCAATTCCTTAGATGATGGGGGGTCATGTACCACATCTTCATCATCCGATTCTAATCCTTGTTCCAACAAATCATCAACCATTGATAAAGATGGACAGTGGGAACCCAAGCCATTTGAAATTGAATACTGTGTGCCCACTCCTACTCAATGGAAAAGATATCAAGAAGAGGGGGCAATGAGTTGCTGGCTACATGTGGAAACACTTTATACAAACATTGAGTTGCATCTTGCCATGAATGAAATCTATTGTGGTGCAAAATTCTGCCACAACAAACATGGCTGCCGAATTTTGTCTGGGAATGATAAGTCTACTGTGGGAGTAGATAAGATGAAAGGATTGTTTATAATTCCCAAAGAGACACCCCTGGTTATAAACTCAGAGATCCAGGTTGTGCGACCCAACTCCAACATTTGGAAGAAAATGCCAGAGGTGAATCTTTCATTGCTTATCAATACTGCCATCTTTTTGCACCAATTGAAAGGCAAAGCCTACAACTACAAACGCTCAGAGCATGCAATTCAAATTCCCTTTGGACTTGTCAACCCCTGTCGTCAATGGTCTGGGTTTCCACTACTTCAGAGATGCAAGGAACTTAATGATTGGCAGAAGGATATCTTTCTAACTCATCTTGGGATGATATGTGATAACATATCTATCCATATAGATGAATTTCAGCGGCTGGCAGGGAAGCAACCATTATGCCAAAATGAAGATAGGGACAAGAGGTATGCTGCCCGCTTTAGACAGAAATTGAAGCTGGCACCTCATTCAAGAATGAGGAAAGAAACAGCCTTTCTCACCTTCTCACCCATTGGCCCAAACCATTTCCCACATAACAAGGACCATTGTGATACATCCAATCCTGTTGAAGATGGATATCATGAAACTGGATGTCATTCACAGGTGGTGACCACCAATGGTGTTGACATGTACCTATTTCAAGTAATCATTGCCAGTCGTAAATGGATCTCAAGAGATTGTGTGATGAATGAACACTCCTATGACCCCTTGTCGGATGCAGATGGTGCTGAAGAAGGTGGTGATGCAGATGAAGCTCACAGAGGAGATGATGACAAACAAGAAAGCATAGATGATGATGAGGAAACTGAAAATGGTTATGAGGAAAGAAGCCATGATGATGATGATGATGATGATGATGATGATGATGATGATGATGATGATGATGATGATGATGAAAGTGAAATTGGGGATGCAAGCAAGGAAGACGAAGCTACCTTTTTGAACATTGGGGAAGAACTCCTGATTGGTTTTGTTGATAAGGGACCTGGAGGACAACTCGAACTTAAACCACTCCGTAATTTGAAGATTGGGATGGTAATGTATGTCTGTCCATACATACCAGTTGATCTATTGGCACCACTTGTACAATATTACAAGTCTGACACTTACATGGAGAAGTTCAAGAATTGCACTGGAATTGTGAACCATAGTAGTGGAAAAGGAAGTGCCAGCCCTCCCCATGCTGAATATCTAATGTCAGGGCCTTCCAACTGGCATGAGCATGAGTCCAATCTAATGCATGCAATCCAAAAAGCCCTGGAGTTGGAGACAGGACATGGTTTTTCATACAATGACTGTGGTTGTATCAGGACTGTAAATGGGATGTATCATCAGCCTTCTCATGTAGATCATGGGAAGGCTCTGCAGCTGCATCATTGAGCTTATATTGGTCATATGGGCCTGTGTCAGGAGGGATCAGTATTGCGGCTGGACTTTCCAACTGATAAAGCAAATGAATACATATATGATGATGAGGCTGTCATTCCAGAGAGAACAAAAGTGTTGCAAGAGCAGGTGTTTGTACACATTCCATTTGGGTCACTTCTTCTCATTGACGCTTGACAGTTCCATGGGGGCCACTATGGGTCCAACGAGGTTCTTAGATTCCACTGCATATTTTCTGACTTTGAATGGGTTTCAAACATCCAAACTGATGAGTTATGTCTGCTGTTGGACAGGACACATGCTTCAGGAATGGCCATGGACCATGTCAAAAATTTCATCAGGGAGTGCAGGGATGATGATCAGGGTCAACGGAAAGGGTACATTGAATCTTTTGAAGTAGCATGTATTTAATTACTTGACTTGACTGTATTATCCAGTTAATTCTATTTTCCTGTTAATTCTCCCTTCTAGCTTGGTCCCTTCCATAGTCACGGGAGGATTGGCTCATGTGCTTGAGAAAGTTTGGTGATTTGAGGAACTGCTCAGGCCACTCATCTTTTGCTGTCCAGATTGCATCAAAGCTATCTTGTGCCAGAGAATCTGCAGCTGTCACCTCCACCCTAGTATTGCTGCTGGAAGAGGATACGACTTGTCTACAAAAGGAATCCCCAATCAAATTGGAACCCAGATCAATACAATAAATACGGTGTTCAATCTCGTCCAAACCAAGCTCTTCAAAGACAGCTTCATGGTAGAACTTGTTTCCAATGATCTTTTGTTGAAATTGCATGTTCCAGTGGGAGAATAGCAAAGAGTGGGTGTCTTTATCAGCAGTAATGTGATCTGTTTCAGAAGCAACTTGTAGAAGGCACTTCAATGTTCCATAGGATTGTTGTTGTGGTTCCAGGCCTCTGATGGCAAAGTCACTTTTATCAAACCATATAGCAGCCAAACGACATGGTACTCCAGAAGTCTGATCAAAGTTCACCTTAACATAATCATACCATGCTCCTCCTCTTCTATAGTTGGCATGTGCACGGCAAATCTCCCCCAAAATGGTTGCTTCAGTGTATACAGGAATAAGCCTACTGTTCTCCCCCTTGGACCTTCTCTGGAACCAGTCCACTGTAGCAGGGGACAGTGGTGGTTCAATCACTAGCTCAGTCTTGGTACCAACCTTTTTCCAAAACATTCCTGTCTTTGTACATAATATATACTTCTGAGAAGATTTTGGGATGCCATGTTTTGGTTTTGATTCTCCTGGAGTTTGTTTTGTATGGAAGGATTGTGAAGCATGTTGCAGAAGGACAGCATCATGAACCCTATCACAAATCTGTTTGCAGTAAAGCACAGCCCCCACATTTTGAGTGTCTGGCTTGGTAGCTTGGCCCAAATCTTGAGATTCCTTTCCCCAGTGGATGAATTGAAACCATCTGATGATCCAAACAGGAGTATGTCTGCAAGGAAATGTGAAAGTTCAACAAACTTACGGAGCTTCCATCCTTTGGTGTTAGGACCCCGAAAGATTCCATGTACAATTACCTTGAGAAGTAAGGAAAGGGAGAGAGAGTACAATTGCCCCTTGCTAGTGGCTGTTTCATTGTTCTCAGTAGAACCAAGGTCTGGGCTTTTCAAGAAGGAATGAAACAGTAAAATTGTCTCAACAAGATAGGTAAATTCAGGCAATGTAAGAGACACAGTTCGTGTGGAACTGCCCTCGTAACTACCTTCATTTAATCCATTGGACACAATAGATGGTTTCCATGCTGATTCAACCTGTGCTGCAGTTGGTTGCAATGATTGCCACTTTCGGTCTGGTTGATGGTCAGCAACACTGAAACTGTCCATGCTCATTTCTTGGTAGTCTAAATCAGGTAGCACATTGTGGTGGGGATCTGCCTGCTGCTTCCAAACAGGCTTTATACGATCACATAGGACCTTTTGTAATCACTGTTTATGATGCTGAGGCAGTTGTGGTTCCAGGTCCTTGTGCACATATTGAAGTCCAATAACATCCAAATAATCCTTCACCTCAGGCCAATCTAGTTTCACCAATGTAACTTCCTCGTCTGGATAATTGCATGTGTCTTCCTCTAGGTGGTACACATTGGCCTCCTCCCCATCATCATCATCATCAGTACCTCTCCCCAATTCAGGCTCATTATCATTATCTATGGCTGTGGATGCTGGTGTTGTTGGTGTTAAATTATTGGAACCAGGGCTGGACTTGGTTCTCTTCCTTGAACGTGACTGACGTTCTTCACGTTCTGAATCAAATGATGCTCTGAATCGATGCAATAGCAAATCCTGTCCCTTCTTGCTTTGGAGGATGATGGAAAGCAAAAAAAGCTGACCAAGTCTTTCAGATGAACTCAAATTTGTGAGCTTTGTGTATCCATGTCGGAAGGTAACCCTGGGGTAATTCTCCTTCTCCCTGGTTTGGTTCCGACCTGGACCAAACAGGGACTCAACATAATCATCAATTTCTTTCAAGGCTGCAGGGGACATAAGACCAAAGAAGACTTCCAATATCATTGGGATAAGACCCTCTTCAATTGTGTGCATGGGATCAGTTGAAGTTGCATCCAGGATGTTGTTCTTGTTAGGCCCAAAATCAACATCAGACCAGGCATTGAGAAGGGCATGAGAGCCTAAGACTTTATGCAGGATGAGATCACATATCAGCATCCTCCTTTTCTTCAGTCGCAGAACATCGTTTCGTTCCTTCTGTGTCTTGTGACCATCCATATAGCGTCTCCATTTAGCAAAATTTGGGGACTCTGGTATGACATTTTGCAGCTGATTCATACCAACTGCATTGGAATGGTCCTGTCGACCATAAGATGGTCCAAGGGATCCCAGTGAAAGTTTATGCATGAATACAAACAAGAGGGCAACACACTCATGAATGGGATCATCAGAGCAAGTGGCAGGACAAAGACATCTTCAAGACAATCTTGGGGAATTCTCTGATTGGTCAGCAACCCGTTGGGCCAGCTGATCATTACTGAGGTTGTCCCCAATTATTGAGGCAATTGGAGCAATAATCTTGAAACAACCTACATGAGGGCCACGTCTGAACAACTTTGGGGCTGCTCAGATTGGATAGTCTTCAATGGTTCCAATAAGATGGACAGACAGTGGTGATAGTCTCTCAGTGCCATACTCCGACTGTTGGTGGTGGTGGTAGGCGAACGTTGTTGCCGTAGCCACTTGAGGCTTGGGACATATCCTAGTAGGACCCAGTTCTCTGCTTTTTCCCGGGATGTCTGGTCAAGGTCAGCAGAAGTTACAGCCACTGGTTCAACAGAGATCTTCTCTATCTTGTCAACACCAGTCTTGTCCATGTATGCTACAAGTGGATGAAGAAGATATTTACCACTGTCCAACTTCTGCTTATAATGGGGCATTTGGGTGGCCTGTCGATACCACTCCCCAGAAGCAAAGGAAGCAAGGTCGTTGTGGACCCTTGAGTCTGAAGAGATGGTAGCAAGACCAAAGGGTGAGTCCTCGTTGTTGGGGGGTGTTGGAATACTGAGGTTTTCGTAGTCTGCAAAGGTACTGCTGATAAGGTGATCCTGGAGCCTTTGATGGAGATCAAATCGGTATATGACAGTTTTCAAGCCAGACTCAAGATTGACATTAGTAGGTGTAGGAGCTGATGCTCCAACAGTCTTCTTTATCCGTGCCATCAGTGAGTCTCTTTTGGTGAGGAAGGGACTTGAAAGATCAAAACCAAATTGTTGGTGAGCTTCCTGCACTATGGAAATGAACTTGTCTGGTAGAAATTGTGGAGCCCCAGCCTTGTAGCATTCATAATGTAGTTTGGCCATAACTGTATCTACAGGGTGAAATTGATTAGAGAACATACGCTGCTGCTCATCAATTGGGAACCCATATACTTCACCCACTATAGAGTTAAATTTGCAGCCCATGACTGTGCTAGTATGATGATTTTCTACAAAGGTTTGGGGAGAACCATTGGTTCTGCCATCTGATATGGGGAGAGGTGCATTGACAGCAAGGCTGCTGGTGCAGGAAGATTCCTGGGCACCAGAAAAGGAATGGGGCACAATGGAGTTTGATCTCTCCATTTCTCCCACAAAGTCAGTAAGTTGGGGGTCAAAGTCCACATGAGCTTCATTGTCAGCTTGGGGTGGTGATGGTTCAAGGATGGATATGGGCCTTGCACGTTTGGAACTCCTGGTGGAGCAAGCAGAGGCAGAGGATCGCTTCAATGGCGGCAACAAGGATGCAGTAGTGTGGGATGCCTGAGGGGTATGGAATTCAACAGCAAACTCTTGATCAAGAATGCTGTCATCATCATCCTCTTCCTTGGAGCCATCCAGAGTATTGTGTGTGGGTGGTGTAGTTGACATACTTGAGGCGGGGCACCATGTTGAGGAGTCCTTGTGCTGGAAGAAATGATTGAATTGTTTGAAGCCCTTGCCACAGTCTGAACAATGGCAAACATAATTCATTTCCAACCTTGATGGATCTATCGAGGATAAAGCTTGATTCTTTGGTTCCAATGGCTAGGGTTTGAATGACGGCGGGGGAGTGGCACAGAGAATAGCAGTCATCAAATGCCACTATGTCTGAAATTAGACTGGGGGATTTAGTTTTGGGGGTTTTGTGAACTAAAAATCGAAACAATTTCTGCAAGTTTACCGTGCAATTTATTGCTGGTGGAAATTTTGTATGAATTGCACGGAAACAAATGGGGGAAGATGAGATCTATATTGCTACTGGAAAATTTCCATTTTCTAAAATAATATTGCAAGAATTTGGTGGAGAAATCTCCAATCCTGGAATAATTGGGTTCTTGATGCCCCGCCCTACTACTAGCTAGTAGGTGCACTTCTTCTACTACTATAGCAAATGTAGCATTGAGACGTCGAGACAGTGTGCGTATAGTATTGCTAGTCAAGCAATAACAATTTTGTAGAAACGATTATCGCATTTGTAGCAAGCAGTTGAGACAGCACAATATACAGTACGATGACACGTTGATCAATCAACATGAATCAAATCAACTAAATCCACAATCGACTGTTTCGACCCGAAGAGAGGTCTGATCTGGAAGAATCGCGATGTCACGCACTCTCAAAAAATAATTCAGGTGACACGGATGGCAATGCCACGGGTTGAAACCACATATCGAAGGAATAGAGTGCTGCTGACACAGTAATCGAAGCAACGGATAGGCTCTAATGGACGATCCAGCAGCATCCAAGAAACAACCAGCTTCATCATCAGCAGATAGTAGCGCTATATATACTACTATTACTACTACGCCTACTGCCAACCTTTCCATCAATGTGCTCGGCCTAGCTTTGGTCTGTGTGACGCCCATGGCGTTGGGTTTCGTCTACGGATTTGACATTGGATCCACCTCGTTTGTATTGGCACTCTTGCTAAAGGCGGGTGGCGCTGATGGCGGTGGCGGCTCTGAAATTGTTTGGTGGTCCCATCTGACGAGCCTGCAACAGGGACTCTTTGTCTCCGCTCTGTCTCTTGGCGCATTGATTGGAAGTCACTTGATGATTTTGGAGTGGTGTACCAAGAATATTGGACGACGATTGGAATTGCAGGTGGCTGCTGCGCTATATCTTGTAGGAAGTATGATCAATATTGCTTCTGGAACCTTGCTTCAGTCATCCCATAATGAGTTTGGATTTTGCGCTCTCTTTTTGGGACGGACTTTGTTTGGAATTGGTGTCGGTCTTGTCATGCATGGGTAAGTCGCAGTCACAGAAGACTTGATCATATATCGATACGAAACATGGTGGTTGACTAACCTTCTTACTTGTTTCTGTTCCTACTGTTCCTATTACTACTATCCTTTTCACCTAGTGCCCCAGCGTATTTGGCGGAAATGTGTCCTCCCCAGATTCGTGGGGCCGTCGTCTCGGCCAAGGAAACCGTCATTGTCAGTGGCATTGTCGTCGGATATGCCGTGGGCAATTGGATTTCTGCTTCGACGAGTAGTAGTAGTAGTAGTAGCAGTAGTTATAGTCAACAACAAGAAGGACACTTGGCGTCTTGGACACAGATTTACGTCTTCAAGGTTGTATTATTGGAAGTACCATTCTTCCTCTTGACGTTTTGCATTCCACGAAGCATGCGATGGTTGATTTACAATGGTTATCGAAAGGAAGCCGAGCAATCCATGCGATTTCTGTATAAAAGCAGCAGTAATAGTAGTAGTACTACTACTACAAACGACAGCAGCAACAACAACAACAAGGATGACGACATTAGTGTGGCATTTGACAAATTGGCCAAGCAAATCGAGGAGACCACCGAAGCGTCATCACCATCACCATCATTCTCCAATGAACAAGCCAACAACATGTCTAATTTGTTGTCCAAGGAAAATAGACCGGCACTCGTCGCTAGCATGGGCTTGATTGTTTTTCAACAAGTTTCAGGTCAGCCAAGTCTATTGAGTTATACTACCCTATTGTTTGAACAGGCTGGTTGGGGTGGCAACGCATCCGTCTTGACTAGCATCTTTATGATGTGCATGTCAACCTCAACGGTGTTGTTTGTGGACAAGGTGGGTCGCAAACCATTGTTGAAATTGTGCTGCTGCGTCATGATGGGAGCCTCGTTGGTCTTGTGCATTTGTTATTGGTACATGACTACTGCTGCTGCATCCAATACTGCTGCATCCAATGCTACTTTGGACAATACTGTGGAAATGACGGAACTATCGTCCCGATTTCGGTGGATTGTCTTGATTGCCGTTTTTCTATACATTGGTGGTTACCAAATTGGATTTGGACCGCTGACCTGGTGCATTGCCAGTGAAGTTTTTCCGTTGAGTATCAGAGGCAAAGCCATGGCATTGGGTGTGGAAGTTAATTATTTGCTATCGTTCTTGGTCGTCTTTGTATTGCCCATCTTGCAAACAGCACTGGGATGGGCACCCATTTTTGCCGTCTTTTCCTGTTTGTCGGCATTGGGATATTGGTTTGTCGATCATTACGTTCCCGAAACCAAGGGTTTGACCTTGGAACAGATTCAAAAGAAACTATTGCCCGAACGGATGGCAAGCATAAATTCTCTTGATCATGATCATGATGATGATGATGAATCACCTTCCGAGACCACAAGACTGATACCTACATGACAGGAATAAAGATGGGGAATATTGTTGAACTATTATTCTATTATAGCAGTGCTTTTCATTCCATTTGAGTACACAGCATTATGTGCATCGTTAATATTCATTATTACAATTACATATAGTATAAATATAAAGTAGATTCGTAGCTTCCCTTGACTGACTGATTGATTCATTCCGTCGAAAATTCTCCGTTATACCCACTGACACTTGAAGGCTTCGAATCTTCGATTCAGCTTTTGATATCGTTTCTTTCCTCTGGAGGGCCTGCTGTTATTAGTATTAGTATTCGTATTCGTATTTGTATTCGTGTTGGTACTAGAAGAAGAAGATGATCTTTCGGAATCCGTGACACTAATCGTCCGGTCGTCCGATGGTTGTTGTTGTTGTTGGTCTTGTTTTCGGCACACTGGTTGCGAGGGTTCCTTGGCATAGTCAGCATATCGGTACTTTGCAGTCGCGTTTGTATTGTTGTTGCCAGTAGTGCACCAAAAGGATCTCATCCACAGGACCGAGAATAAATGGCAAACGTTGTGGTGGCTTGGATTGAGTGCGGTCGAGTTGGTGAGAGAAGACGTGTACGAAATGACTTCATCATCATCCACATCGTCGTCGTCGTCATCTGAATCAGAGGACGAATAAGTATCGTCACCCGTGGTAAAGGAATCAAAGACCGTCGAGTCATTCTCGGGGACCACGACACTTGGAATGTCACTGTCAACTTGTTGTTCTTGTGGTTGGTGGTGTTCCATTGAGGTACCATATTCAGAGTCATGGATCATGGGAGAATGGTATTCTTGACGTTGTACTTGCTTCCTGGCTGCCATGCTCTGATGCTGAAGCTCTCTTTGTGTATTGGGCATCGTGGTATGGTAGTAACATTGCATCAAGGATTGCGTCCGTTCCAACCGAGCCAAGTATTCTTCATCGCTGGACAGAATGGTGGTAAAGGCTTGACTGGAATCGCCATTCGTCGCAATGCTCGACCTACGCAAAAAGACGTGGAACTGCGGTTGGCCGTGAAAAGCCTGAATGGAGGTAATGACTTGAGGATAAAGCTTGCAATCTTCGTAGAGAACCAACCAAGCTTGTTCTAAAAATGCTGTGGCGGCCAACAAGTGTTGTTGCTGGTTGGGAGAATATTCTTCCAAGACAACCTTGAGTTCCAAGAATCGAATGAGACTGGACGCAAGCTCGTGGTTCTCCTCCAACGAGGCATCGCTTGGAAGGACTTTTTGAACACATAGCTCCACATTGGCTTTGAGTGGAAAGCCAGTCTGTAAGACGCTGGAAAAGCAGTCTGAAGGAGGAGATTGCTGCTGCGGATTCATTGATTGTGTGTGTGCTGTCATGTTTTGCTGCAGGTATTGCTGCTGAGGTATCTTCTTATATTGTATCATACCTTCAATAATTGATGTTTCCTAATTCCTAATATAGGTACGCGATACTCTTAGTACAATTTTTTTAAAAACGGAAACAGATTCAGGTTTTGAGAGCCAACGATGGCGGAAAACGCGGGAGAAAGAATCCCAAAAGAACTATTTGGCAAGTCTGCCGTGTCACTCAACGGAACCCATCATGTGCCAGATCCTATTAATTTAATCGATATGGGCTATGTAAGCATGTCACTTACATACAGGCGTGGATAAATCTCCGACCACTCCTTTCCCAAATACCGCGTGCCTCAGTCCGTAGTAACGGTCTTCAACAATAAGCTTCCGCATATTTTATGGTACCGGTATGATGTATATGCCGACTCGGCGAAGAAGAGAGAGGTTAATTCACCCCGGCACCTCCATTGTTGGCTGTCTACCCATCGGTATTGCCCTTGAGCATGTCCAACAGTTTACACCTCCACACGCTCCAAACTGAAAACAACCAGAACAACAACAGAAAACATTCATCGTATTTCGCAAGAAACATCAAGCAAGACAAAAAGGAGCAAGCAACCACACATAATTTTCCAAATGATACGACAAACAATGCCAATATGGAATCTTCTTCTTTCGTCCTTCCTGTTCATAATGCTTCCACAATACAACATGTCTCAGCCGACGAAGAAGGTGAAGAAGATCATTTCGAGCCACCGAGCGAAGAGGACGTCTTGGTATATCAAGCGTGCATTGCTGACACCGATGGATTTGGTGGTTCTGTCACTGACGACTTTAATACCAATACAATAGTATCAAGAGATTACCTATGCTGGTGGTCAGGCCAGTCCCGCACAAATGGTACGCGATCTGGATCTGGCCATGGTAAGTTACTTGCTGGCGACCACGAGACGGATCCGTTGCGTTCGACCGCCATTAGCATTGCCACCTTCAGACATTGCGGAACATGGACAAGACGATTCGAATGATAATCGACAGAAATTGCAAGGGAGAACTGCCGTGGGACTATCGGCCAATCCTGATGATGCAATATTACAATGTACGTATATTGTTCCATTATGTAGATATGTAAATGGAGAGAGTCAGCCAGCCAGTCAGTCACTTATTATCTTCAATCATGATGATTCTCACCATCTTCGATTCATCAATTCATCTTCTTTTATAGTGGATTGCCAAGAGGAGTCCTTATCAAATACGGATCGATGCATGGTGGTCGACGCGGGGTTTTCCGTGTTCTATTCTGGGGAATTGCTGGACAATGACGAGGATGGTTTGGAAGACATTTTTCGAAACGAGCTTCAGACGGCCGTAGAGTCGGGAGCACTGAACAGTGCCAACGACCAAATTGTGAGTATTCGAATTACCGATCCGGCAACCTATCGACCTTTTCGAGGGGGAGATGCTGTACATCCACCCGTTCCTCCAAGTGAATTGGATTTGGTACCACGAGACGATGCAACGTGCCCATTGTAGTGGCGGCATCGGTTGGATCTTTACTATTAGGGGCAGCAGGTATAGCCTACAGTCAGTCGCAACGACAAGGCACGTATCATTCACCACCAACTTCGACGACTAATAATTCTCCCCAACAATCATCACCTCCAGCTAAGACCAAATCAGAAGAAGGTTGAGCATCATTCATGAACACCATGCAATCGTCACCATGACGCTAGGTGCGAAGAGGAACCAAAAGAATAGAGATTCTTCTCCTTCTTTCAATCAACTTTGTCATTTGACAAGACTCTACTCGGTTCTGTTTTACACAGACGATCCCTCGACTATATTATTGTCATGCTTTTAATCGAAGCAGTAGTAGATGCCTTAGTTGACTGTTGTAGGTATCAAGGATCCTTTCCATATGGATAGCTGGAAGCAAAGACAAATTACTTGAAATGAATGAAACATAATAGGATTCTTGATTCCGTAGGATACAGTCCTTCGACTACTGTAATGCTTCTTTCTGCCAAAGTAATCATCTACTGCTATAGAGTGTGATGACAAGTCTACTCCCTTCAATTCCATAGACTCCATACCATAAATGGCAAGGGTTCCGCAAATGGCAAAGACGCCCGAAATGATGATCGGGGCAAAGGCTGTGATTCCTTTGTCCCGATCGTTGTTGAATGACTATAGGAGCATTGGCTGCAGTCTTGTGGCAGAACCAAACAAGAAATTAAATACTTCAAAGACTTCCTACGATATACATATATAGCTCTTGAACGGAATATTTATCTAGAGGAGCAACGAGGACCGAGCTCATGCTATGGTGCTTTGGCTATATTCAATGTATACAAAATAGGCCACTGTATTCGAAGGATCGGTGTAGCACACAAGAGAAAGATTGCGCAAGGATATCATTGTTTGTCTCGTCTTTGTACGGGTACCTGGTACACGTACCAGTGGATGGTGATTCCATCTGTTTAAAATAGATTCAGTAGTGATTCAATAAGAAGGTGCGACGTCATCGTACGAGTATCCCGTCTCCACCACTACTAACAATACAACAGACAATATCGCACTATACAACATATATTACGGCTCTCTACTCTAGAGCAATCAATTCTTTTAGCAAAGATTCCACGACAATCTGTGAGACACGCAGTATGTCATTCAGAACCTCTGATCAGAGAAAAACAATGGTCCTAAAATCGTGACCGAATCCTGCGTATTTATTGGGCACAATAAAATCGTGAACGGATTCCAGCAGTTTCTGTGAACAATGTAGCGCATTTTGTGTTAGCGTGTAGAAAATGTACTATTTCGAGCGTATTTGGTAACAATAAAAGATCGTGAACAGATGCGCAGTTTCTGTGAACAGTGTGGCGCATTTTGTGTGTTTGTCTGCGTAGACTAAGTACTATTTCGCTGCAATCATCATCCAAGATCCTTTCGAAGATCTTTTGCAAGTTCAGTCGGTACGGAACCTACACGGCAGTCATTCAGATTCAAAGATCCACTCTTTGGTTTGCACCTACAGCACTTCACTCACAACAATCTCAAATCGCATCTCGAATATCCAATATCGAATATCGAGTATAGATTAGACGTGATAAACAATGAAGGTCCTAGCTCCCCTCATCCTACTTCTAGTCCTTGTTAGCTCCTTAGTGGCCGAGGCCCATGATGTCGGTGAACTCTCCAGCAATCTTCGCAGCAAAACGGAGACTACGAGAATCAGTCATCTTAAGGGGCGTGGTTGTGTTGACTTCGACGGTTGGGTTTATGATAAGGGAGGTCCATACGAATCATATTGCGAGTGGTGAGTCCTTCCAGCGGAAATCCACCGGGTAATCTGTTTCACTTTGATACTCAAAATACTTGTCGCGACTCTTTCTTGCTCACACAGGTACAAAGGAGAGGACCAGGAGGATGGCACGCCGAATTGCGAGTACTGGGGCGAGGACATCGGAGCAGATGGCAACACTGCAACACAAGCCTGTTGTGTTTGCGGAGGAGGCAGTTCTGGCGGTTCGGTGTCAACCTCCACCACCAATGCTCCTGTCGCAGTCACAGCTTCCACCGTTGCTCCGGGAGCTGCCGGTGGCGATGCAGCCAAATGGGTCGAAGCTCACAACAAACGCCGCGAGAAGTATTCCAAAGACTGGGCACACTTGGGGTACGAGTACAAGGCAGTTGGATGGAACGAAGACCTTGCCGCTCAGGCTCAAGCTTGGGCGGATCATCTTATTGCCAAGGAATGTGGCTACATTCCCCATTCGTCACAGAAGTGTGTTACCGAAGGAGAGAACAACGCTCAGGAGCAGAGTATGCCTGACCCTCCTGCCAGGGACATTGATGGCGTGCTAACTGCTTGGACTGACGATGAAATCGCTGGTGATCCAGCGGAGGCTGGTCATGCCTCTCAAGTGCTCTGGAAGGACTCTACAGCCATTGGCTGTGGCTATGCCACTGGTACCTGCAGCGATGGCTGGGAAACTGCGGTTCAAGTTTGCCGCTACTTCCCAGCTGGAAATCTCAATTGCGGTGGCCCCTGCATTAACGCTGTGAAGAAAAATATCATGCCAGTCGATAACACAAAGCCAATGAAATCTACCAGTGACATGCACGAATGCCTGAAGAAAGAGGAGCAAACCTATGGTAAATAAACGTGTAATCGACCAAGGACAGAATCATCCGAACATTGCGCATTAATTATAATAGCTTTACATGAGAAGCTATTCATATCTCTAGTGATCTGATATCTACTATAGTCTCAAGTATTTGAAGATTTGCCCCTTGTGAAATTTTCAATGTCCGTGTACAGGATGATTGAAAGCGAAAAGACTCTTGAAAATTGCATCACACACATACCTACCGGTATATTCTATCGAGTCAAAACAACAAGACCCCGGCAAACTCCGCTTGATTACTTTTACAGGAGTACCTGGTATACTGTACCTGTACGCTGTATATGTGTATATACTTGACTGAAGCATTTTTTATGATTTCGACGGCTCGGCGGCCTTAAGATTTGTCCGGGACGAACAAGAACAATTTCAAACGCACGACCGCCGGGATTTATTGTCCGATAGGATATTTCTGAGAAATATTGTAGGGCGGGTATATTATTTTTTTTATATACAGCAGTTTGATTTGTGTGTGAAAATTGAAAATGCTGAGTGATTAAATATACCGCGGTATTTATTATTTTATGCGTGTTTTGATGTAGGCATGTCGTAGGAATGTCTGCTAACATTAGCTCGTTGTCGGATTCCTTTGAATTGTGATGTGGATAATTGCATGTTTATCCAAACGGATCGTGAACGTGTTCGCGTGTCGAACTCGTTCCTCGCCAACATATACATTACTTATTGGCCGTGCATGACAGAGAACAAGCTGGACATCTGCTTGTGTCTCTGACTCATCATGCGACATCTACGACATGCCTGACATCAAAACACCTCTCAAGTTGTTCGCATTACCTTGAAGGCGGACGACTTGCATTGCTCAATCCATTTTGGATATCAACAAACGACGGGGTAGAGCAGGTGTTATTCAGCCACTGACATGTAACAATTGGTAGTACCATCTCTTCTGGTAGGTTCGATATGGGGCATTCTACTCCTCGTCCAGTATAAAAAGAAAAATGGGGGGTCTTCCATCGATCAATCCACTCAAGAATGCAAAATGTCACAGTGCCGCTCAGTCTTTGACATTGACTTTCACGTTGGCTCTCAGTCTTTGGCATTGACTCTCAGCCTTTACTTCTGAAGATATGATGCAGGAATCGGCGTACAAAGCCTTCCCGCTTCGGGCCAGAAGGCAGCAACTTTGTGAACAGATCAGATTCATTGTCATGAGTGTTAACGTACGCAGTTTTCCACTCATCTCTGGCAACTCCCTCACGGATAAAGTGATATGCGATGCTTTGCGACTTTTTCTTCAATTGAGATTCCGGAATGGTAGTGTTCGCCAAGGCTGACTGGTTGTCTCCATAGATGAAAACAGGACCTTCAACTGGTATACCCATCATCCGCAACTTGTATCTCAAGCCTCTTAGATATTCGCAACATAGCTTCATTGCACAGAACTCACTTCGGAAACTACTTGTCTCAACAGAGGTTTGTTTCTTAGAGAACCAATAGACAGGCGCACAGCAGTTAATATAGACACAGAATCCCGACCTCAATCGACGTGTCACAATATTGGGTGCATGATCTGCATCCACTTTTGCTCGCGTGATAAAGCCGCGACCTCTGGGCTTCGGTGCTTTTGGGGGCAACACTTCTTTGCCTTTCAAGTGACCAAACTCGCTCGTTGACCAATCCTTTCTGGCAAAAGCAGCTTTGTCAATCTCAGGATAACTGGGGTCAAACACCAACTCAGCATTGTGGTGCTTCTTTAAGTAACCGAATATATTCAAGACCTGTTCAAGATGACCAAATCGCGGCATCGCCTGACATCAAAACACACAAGCAGATGTCCAGCTTGTTCTCTGTCATGCACGGCCAATAAGTAATGTATATATTGGCGAGGAACGGGTTCGACACGCGAACACGTTCACGATCCGTTTGGATAAACATGCAATTATCCACATCACAATTAAAAGGAATCCGACAACGATTCACAACAACAACGTAATACAATAGTGACTGTTACCATCTTCACCTTACACACGTATTCAATTCAGTTTATCAGTACCCAAATAAGCTACAACTATGGTGCAAATCGATCCAGCAGCGATGACTGCTTTCTGGGAGCAAGAAGTCCAGATGCGCATCGTGCAGGATATACGGGACCAATTGGAACTTGATGGCTTGACAACATTTGAGAGTTTTGCCGACTACACCAAGGATGACTTATCGGCCATGAGGAAGCGAATCAGCTACATTCAAAACTGTCAGATAATCAACTCCGTAGCTGTAATGAGAGCCTCAACGCTCTAGCCACCTCTGGAGTATACTGAGCTCGAATCTACGTCGGCTATGGATTGCCTACAATAGGAACAGGTGCCAGTGATGCTGGGCTTCTACCTGCGGATGAACAGTCTCACCACTTCCTATTAGATCTTATTCTACTGCTTGTTAGAATAAAGCAAAATGTGCTCTATCGTGAGTGCCTTTAGCGCTCAGAACAAACTCTCTGCAATCTAAATTCGTAATCGACTGTACAACACTTTCACGACAATAGTTCTCCTGTGTCTAGGTATACTTTGAGTGAAATTGTTCCTATTTGATTAATGTTTGGCTTGAATTGATGATTCAATCACAAAAGTAAGTTCAACAATTTTCCCTTGGAAAATCCCTTGTTTACAGAACTTGATTCGACCTCTATGATGATTCTATGTTGGATGCAGTACTTTGGGACATCTTGTATTATTCCCTAATGCATTGTACACAACATCGATATCTCACTTGTATAGGGTCATTCCCTTTTTGTGTGGATGTAGATTGTCCGACAGACTTGCGTCCGGCACACTTGCGTCAAATCCCAACATCACGATCAAAGTCCGATGGTACGTGTCGAAAACTTCGTACTTGAATAGTTTCTTTTGGAACATAAAAACTCATATTTCGTCATATCCCAACAAAGATGACCAAATCGCGGTATCGCCAGCTGTGACAATAGAATACTGCATTCCAAGCAGATGTCAACTCGACCAAGTTCCACGATCCATCTCAAAATGCCAATCAAGGACATGTAGTACAAAGCATCTTTTGGCTCCAGCTCCGGACTCATGTCCAACTTGGCTCGATAACTGGTCCGCATTGGTGTCCTCGCGCTTGCAGGTATTTTGAATCTGTTGTCACCAGCGGTGTGACAATCATTCAGGTACTTTTCAACATTCTTGATGGCTTGTTGTACGTAAGATGATGATCCAAATGCCCAAGCTTTGGCACCGTGATCAAGCGTCACCTGTCGCACATTACCGCCAAGATAGATCTTTGGTGGACCAATGCTCTTATCTTTCAACAGAAAATACTTCCCAACTTGGTTTCGTAGCGTTTGTTCTGGATGTTCAGATACACGGAGGCAGTCATCGGTGTACAGCAGTATGTATTCCCAATATTCTTGTCCATCGGCTTTAATAGCAGGCCTCATCCAAACATCCGGGTCGGCCGGGCAAGACTTGAATCCCAGGTGTCGCATACAAGCACGTAGATGATTTCTGAAATTGCGTCCAGCAGTTTTGCCGCCATAAATTGCACAGTGAATTAGAGCAACCTTGCCAACGTTTTCCAATCCAAACTCTGGGCCACAAACGATATAATCCTTCTGTGATGACGGGGCTTGGAGGTATGCATTTCTAATGTCCACCACGCATACTTCGAGATCATTCAATGCAGCGTAGGTGAACGCAATGCGCACTCTCTCTCTTGACACCACTCCAGCATATTGAGAACAAGTTGGATCAGGCGTCTTGTGTCCATCTAGGACCCATCTAGCCTTCCGGGTGAAGTCAATCTTTACATCCCAGACCAGGTGTCCTGATACTTTGGACCATCCTGGTGGAGCTTGAATCCCATGGTCTTGTAACTCAATCGCAATACCAAGCTGCGTCATTTCCAATTGCAACGCTGTGATCCACAGGTTGTTTCCATTTTGAGCATCAAGTCTCTTTGCATGTGCCACACTAGTTGGTAACTCAGCACCGTACTTGTGTGTGGTCTTTCTTGCTCTTGATTTCACTGCTGAAATAATGACATCTCGCTTGCGAATAGTGTATGGTACCCACCATTTGAAGGCAGGTTCGTTATCAATCTTCTTTGCAACTGCGAACTCGGCCACATTGACAGGGTTTGATTCTTTCATATACTTCAAATCAATCCAACTGTAGCTGTCATCACTCCAGAGAATCTTAAGCTCCCAACCCTTTGTGGTCTTACGTTGACGTCTGCCACTATGAGATTGGACATACTGGTCCTTCTTTCTCACAGCTGTCTTTGGATCTTTCCTCCAGTCCACGATTGCTTTGAGCATTGGGCTAGAGAATCCATCGTCATCAACTTGGGTTAGAATGTTTTTGGCAATAGTTGTCGCGCCATATTCCTTGATAGCACCATCATTGAACTCAACTTCGTACATAATGGTATTCAATGCAGGATTTCATCGTACAAGCCCATTTGGCGGCCATCAGGACTAACAATTCGTTGGACAACCTTTCCATGTTCACCAGATTCATTACGGATTTCCAGATTCAGCAAAAGATTGTATGCCGGCTGTTGGTTGATCAAATGACCATGAATGTCAAGTTGGTCCTCAACATCAGGCATCGGCTGGGCAAACTGTTCATCATCTTTGTACAGTTCCCAATGATCCTCTTCCTCCTCTGAAGCAACTCCATTTGACATATGAGCATTTGTGGTGGTACCATCCTCCTCAGAATCAAGATCCTTCTCAAGTTTGATGAAGCTAGGGCCATGCTTCTTTTCAATCAAGCTATCATAGAGTTGTCTCTTTTGTTCTTCTTCAGGCAAATGGATTTCTTCAGTCTTCAGTGGGCGGACGGTGCGACGGGAGATGACTGTTCCGTTACCTTGCAATACCCACTGACACATCTCATTCCCCATACCGGTTGCTGGGCCAAGAACTCTCCCAAGGATTTCCTTTTTGTGTGGAAAAGCAATGTTCTTATTCATAGCATAGCACCACTCGTACCAGCCAAAACAACACAAATTCGAAATGTCGCCTGGATCTCCGGTCACTTCGGTTTGGGGGGTTTGACCGTGCAATTGAAACGAATCTTTTGCAGTCAAGTTGTTGACACAAGCTCTTCGCTCAACACAATAATCCCAGAAGACGAAGGGGCAGTTGGAGTCCCTCATGTCACGACGGACTGCCTCTTTCATTAATCCTACATACAGTTCAGCACGATTGGCCCACGGGGTTCCTTGTTCGAGGACCCGGATAGTGGTCCCAATGCTATTTAGGAATCTTCTGAGTTTAATAGACGTCTGCTCACCTGCCGCGTCACAGACAATTGCGCGTAACTTTGGGACCAGCAACCGGATGCTTTGATACAGACGACTCACTCAATACTTTTGTCTGTGACGTCTATGGGAACTGTACGAAGATGATGAACAGTTTGCCCAGCCGATGCCTGATGTTGAGGACCAACTTGACATTCATGGTCATTTGATCAACCAACAGCCGGCATACAATCTTTTGCTGAATCTGGAAATCCGTAATGAATCTGGTGAACATGGAAAGGTTGTCCAACGAATTGTTAGTCCTGATGGCCGCCAAATGGGCTTGTACGATGAAATCCTGCATTGAATACCATTATGTACGAAGTTGAGTTCAATGATGGTGCTATCAAGGAATATGGCGCGACAACTATTGCCAAAAACATTCTAACCCAAGTTGATGACGATGGATTCTCTAGCCCAATGCTCAAAGCAATCGTGGACTGGAGGAAAGATCCAAAGACAGCTGTGAGAAAGAAGGACCAGTATGTCCAATCTCATAGTGGCAGACGTCAACGTAAGACCACAAAGGGTTGGGAGCTTAAGATTCTCTGGAGTGATGACAGCTACAGTTGGATTGATTTGAAGTATATGAAAGAATCAAACCCTGTCAATGTGGCCGAGTTCGCAGTTGCAAAGAAGATTGATAACGAACCTGCCTTCAAATGGTGGGTACCATACACTATTCGCAAGCGAGATGTCATTATTTCAGCAGTGAAATCAAGAGCAAGAAAGACCACACACAAGTACGGTGCTGAGTTACCAACTAGTGTGGCACATGCAAAGAGACTTGATGCTCAAAATGGAAACAACCTGTGGATCACAGCGTTGCAATTGGAAATGACGCAGCTTGGTATTGCGATTGAGTTACAAGACCATGGGATTCAAGCTCCACCAGGATGGTCCAAAGTATCAGGACACCTGGTCTGGGATGTAAAGATTGACTTCACCCGGAAGGCTAGATGGGTCCTAGATGGACACAAGACGCCTGATCCAACTTGTTCTCAATATGCTGGAGTGGTGTCAAGAGAGAGAGTGCGCATTGCGTTCACCTACGCTGCATTGAATGATCTCGAAGTATGCGTGGTGGACATTAGAAATGCATACCTCCAAGCCCCGTCATCACAGAAGGATTATATCGTTTGTGGCCCAGAGTTTGGATTGGAAAACGTTGGCAAGGTTGCTCTAATTCACTGTGCAATTTATGGCGGCAAAACTGCTGGACGCAATTTCAGAAATCATCTACGTGCTTGTATGCGACACCTGGGATTCAAGTCTTGCCCGGCCGACCCGGATGTTTGGATGAGGCCTGCTATTAAAGCCGATGGACAAGAATATTGGGAATACATACTGCTGTACACCGATGACTGCCTCCGTGTATCTGAACATCCAGAACAAACGCTACGAAACCAAGTTGGGAAGTATTTTCTGTTGAAAGATAAGAGCATTGGTCCACCAAAGATCTATCTTGGCGGTAATGTGCGACAGGTGACGCTTGATCACGGTGCCAAAGCTTGGGCATTTGGATCATCATCTTACGTACAACAAGCCGTCAAGAATGTTGAAAAGTACCTGAATGATTGTCACACCGCTGGTGACAAAAGATTCAAAATACCTGCAAGCGCCAGGACACCAATGCGGACCAGTTATCAAGCCGGAGCTGGAGCCAAAAGATGCTTTGTACTACATGTCCTTGATTGGCGTTTTGAGATAGATTGTGGAACTCGGTCAAGTTGACATCTGCTTGGAATGCAGCATTCTATCGTCACAGCTGCCGATGACGCGATTTGGTCATCTTGAACAGGTCTTGAATATATTCGGTTACTTAAAGAAGCACCACAATGCTGAGTTGGTGTTTGACCCTAGTTATCCTGAGATTGACAAAGCTGCTTTTGCCAGAAAGGATTGGTCAACAAGCGAGTTTGGTCACTTGGAAGGCAAAGAAGTGTTGCCCCCAAAAGCACCAAAGCCCAGAGGTTGTGGCTTTATCACAAGAGCAAAAGTGGATGCAGATCATGCAGCCAACATTGTGACAAGTTGATCAAGGTTGGGATTTTGTGTTTATATTAACTGTGCGCCTGTCTATTGGTTCTCTAAGAAACAAAGCTCTGTTGAGACAAGCAGTTTTGGAAGTGAGTCTTGTGCCATGAAGCTATGTTGCGAGTATCTAAGAGGCTTGAGATACAATTTGCGGATGATGGGTATACCAGTTGAAGGTCCTGTTTTCATCTATGGAGACAACCAGTCAGTCTTGGCGAACACTACCATTCCTGAATCTCAATTGAAGAAAAAGTCGCAAAGCATCGCATATCACTTTATCCGTGAGGGAGCTGCCAGAGATGAGTGGAGAACTGCGTACGTTAACACTCATGACAATGAATCTGATTTGTTCACAAAGTTGCTGCCTTCTGGTCCAAAGCGGGAAGGTTTTGTACGCCAATTCCTGCATCATATCTTCAGAAGTAAAGGCTGAGAGTCAATGTCAAAGACTGAGAGCCAACATGAAAGTCAATGTCAAAGACTGAGCGGCACTGTGACATTTTGCATTCTTGAGTGAATTGATCGATGGAAGACCCCCCATTTTTTTTTTGAAGATGGTAACAGTCACTATCGTATTATGTTGTTGTTGTGAATCGTTGTCGGATTCCTTTCGATTGTGATGTGGATAATTGCATGTTTATCCAAATGGATCTTGAATGTGTTCGCATGTCGAACTTGTTCCTCGCCAATATATACATTACTTATTGGCCGTGCATGATAGAGAACAAGCTGAACATCTGCTTGTGTTTCTGACTCATCATGTGACATCTACGACATGCCTGACATCAAAACATGTCCAGTGGGATTTGTATGGCCAGTTGCTGACACTGGTTATGCAGAATTTTGTGAATCGCTAGAGAATTGTAACAGTAAGACTTTTGGGGGATTATTGCACCTTCTTGAAACCTGAAAGAGGTCATTGAAAGCTGCTTTGATTCAGTCAATGCCAATCCCCAAGGATTTGCAGTCCCAGAGGTTTCAGCAATTCCTCTATGGGATACTTTTCCTACAGTGGATCAGCCAACTGGCGGAATGCACCTAATTGGAGATATCCAACAACTAGCCCCATTCCAAGTACAACAAGATTGTTTTTTGCAAAATCATTTGACTCAAATTGTGAGACGGGGACCCATCACTGGCCAAAGTGAGAGAGCCCAAATGTCTTGCATGCAATATGATAAGTGGATTAACGGTCCATCGGCTACTCAACCCTTCAAAAAAGTGCAAAAAGTGGGGGAACCATACCTGTACCTTAGTCAACCAATATAAAACTTCTACCTTAGATCCTTAGCTTTAATCCTATTGTGGTCGCATGTTTTGAAAGTGCTATGCTCAGAAGTTACAGCCCCGCTAAGGTTCTTGGTGCTAAGGGGCACTAATCATCCAAATCACGGTGCTCAGAAGGAGCCAGAATACATCAAGAATGCTCCAATGAAGCTATAAACCAATGCATAGATTATGAATGAGTCTTATGAAGCGGTACTATAACCATATTTCCCCCATAACACTTTATGATATGTCTCTTAGTGGGGATGATTATTTTGGAACAATCAGACCATCACCAACTTATATCACCATGGAACTGCGCCATTCAACCTAGTATATCATTCGAACCACTCATTCCATCTCCCATAGTCTCCTAATAATAATAAGTACTCAATCTTACAATAGCAGATGATCTTGTAGTTGTAAACACTGTAGAAACGATGAAAAAAGTAGTTAGACCAACACTCAGAACATCAGCAGGAGGAGAAACACACAACCCTAGCTGGGCTGTAACTTCTGATCATAACATTTTGAAAACATGCGACCACGCCAGGATTGAAGCTAGGAACCTAAGGTAAAAGTTATATATGGGGTAAATTTTGATTCTATGGATATCAACTAACGTACAGGTATGGCCTCCCCACTTTTTTTGTAGGGCCAAGTGGCGGACAGACTGTTAAGTGGATCACTCTGGAATATCCAGAAGAACAGGGTGGTGGCAGCACACTATCTGCAGCCTACCAACCTTATGTTGGCCAAATGTTTCAACCGTTCGATGAATGGATGCAGGGAACGTGCACTTGGTGCTCAAATTTTACTCTGGATCCTGTGGAAGTTCCAGCACCTTTTCACCTCTATCCAACAAGGGTGGTTCCAAAATTGGCAAAAGCGCCTCCCGGTTACAAACCTGAACGGTTGGTGTGGTCACCTGCTAACAATGATGGAGAATGCTTTGATAATTTTCTTGCCAATGAGGATCCACAACCTGTTGATGGTGAGGTCCAGGATCCACAAGAGATGCCAGGCGACTCTGACCAGGATGAAGACTTACATGTGGGAACCAGACGGGGAACTGCAACTGACAAAGTAGTACTTGACTCATTGCCAAACTCTCACAGTGACGGTCCATATGCAAGGATGGCAACAACAATGCCTCATTGTCCGCATCCTATAGTACCAAACCATCATGGGGTCTCCTCATGGGCGGAATCAGGACTGAATCAGAGAATGAAGATGTCAACTATGGTAGTCAAGACTTGGTGCATGGTGATCCATTTGCCACTACAGTTGCGCCATTGAAACAACACGGTGACCCATTTCAGCCATCTTGGGAGCCTGGTGGCACTGGCGTGGAGGTGGACTGGAATTCACCCTTTACAAACAAGCGTCAACAGGTGGATCAGTTGGACGTATTGATATATTGAGCAATCATATTGGTCAATTATTGATCAATGGTCTTTGTGATGTGACGCGGCAATGACGTGAGTGTCAATTGTGCGTAATATGAAACGCAGTATGTCAGAATGTGTCATCACGTAGAAAGGTGATCAAAAATGAGAATCGTGAGAATTTATAAGATGATTTTGAACTTCAATCGAGAGTCTCACTATTGATTGAGTTCTGGCAAGAATAGTATTGTGGACGTTGAGGTCCAAGCAAGTATAGGAGATAATAAAGTAAGACCTTTGATTGAATAAGACTACTGCTTATTCCAGAGGCTGAGGCCCAGAGTTGCTGGTGCCCAAAGGCAGACCATAGCCGACGTAGATTTGATCTCAGGGACTGCTCATTGAAACAGACAGGGCGTTGAGGCTCCCATTCAGGTCTGTAGAGCAGGTCCATCTGACACTATTCAAGTACAAAGTTTTTGACACGTACGATTGGACTTGGATTGTGATGTCGGGATTCGACGCAAGTATGCCGGACGCAAGTCTGTCAGACAATCTACATCCACATAAAAAGGGAATGACCTTGTACAAATGAGACATCAACGTTGTGTACGATGCAGTAGGGAATAATACAAGATGTCTTAAAGTACTGCATTCAACACAGAATTGTCGTAGAGGTCAAATCAAGTTCTGTAAACAAGGGATTTTCCAAGGGAAAATTGTTGAACTTACTTTTGTGATTGAATCATCAATTCAAGCCAAACATTAATCAAATAGGAACAATTTCACTCAAAGTATACCGAACACAGGAGAACTATTGTTGTGAAAGTGTTGTATAGTCAATTACAAATTTAGATTGCAGAGAGTTTGTTCTGAGCGCTAAAGGCACTCACAATAGAGCACATTTTGCTTTATTCTAACATTCAATCACAAAAGGCAACAAAACAAGTTTACGTCAAGAACGGCACTGCCTTATCTACAAAGGAGCGAGTGATTCGTTGACTATGGGACGTTCTTCTTCCGGTGGAGGAATGGGACATGTGACTCCTCAGAAAGTCACGAGCAACTCGAGTTCAACAGTTGTGAAACATCTATTTTCAACAAAAGATGAAAACGATGGAAAGGCAAGATTGTTGTACAAAGATGCCGACTATATCCAAGCTTCTGGAATGAAATGTTCCAAAGACATGGTGAAATCAATTCAAGATGGAAAGTCGATTGACTTCATTGCAATTGCTCCAAGATTGAACGCTCCAACTCAAACTGAAGCTGTTGCAAGAGAAACAGAGATGGCCCAAAACAAGATTCTCTATTCTGCAAAGCTCGACAAGAACATGCGAAGATCAGCCTACTTTGAGACAAACAAGAGAACCGTCAAATCAAACATCATGCTGAAGTTTGTGACAAAGGCGATGGATATCAAGCTTCAAGGTGAAGCCGATTTCACGACTACTCTTGAAGATCCAATCACACCTTTGAAACGTATTGAACGATTCATGAAGAAGAGTGCTGATGCTGAGTATGACTTCTTGGATTTCTGGGAAGCAAATCAAAAGTTCTTTGCTATGAAGCAAGGAACAACGGAAAACTTGATGCATTTCAAGGAACAATTTTTGAGACAGGCTGAAGTCCTACAAGATCTATATGGCATTGCCTGGTTCGGAAATTTTGCAGTCAAGACAAAAGCGTATGCTGCTATTGCTAGCACCGATACTGCTGCTCAAGACAAGTTCAAGGATGATATCTTTGAAGCCGTTCTTGCAACAGGATTTCTGTGCAACTGCAATCAAAGGAGAACAGCTCCTCTGATGCTGGATCTTCAGACAAACTATTGCAGAGAAGTGGATTATTATCCAAAGACGGTCAGCAAAGCACAAGATATAATGAAGATTCACATGGATGTGATTAAAAATCCGGGAGTGAACCTCTACCAAGGAAAAGATCAACCTAAGAAAGGTAAAGGTAAAAGAAAGGAAAGGGGAAACCGAAGGATAGAAAGAAGGCAGCATGTTATGTGTGTGGCAACGAAGACCATATGTCTCCAAAATGCCCAGACAGACTGCTACCAAAGACCCAATGGAAGAATCAGGATCAATATGTTGACTATGGGAAGAAGCTCAATCTTAATCAGATTGGAGCAACTGTCCCAGCTACTGTTCCAGCTATAGTTCCTGGAGCTTCAGCATCCACAAGTGGAGCATCAATTGTTGTGGGAAGCGTCAACACACCATTGCGACTTGCTGGTACTACAGGTAATCAGATGATGCAAGTTCCTTTGGGAATGCAGCTCATGCAGATTCCAACTCAAGGTGGCGGCACTGTTACTGTCCCTTATTCTATGAATGCTAACGGTGAGATTGCGTTTGGTGGAATGCAACTCAGCCAACAAGGCTTCGGTGGTGCTCAAGTGCACCAAGGATTCAATGCAACTCAAGCTCGAACTCTGCAAGCTGTGAAGACTGGCTATTACGATACGTCAAATGTCTTTCACAATGCTATCAAGGGAAAAGATGAGAATGGCAATGATGTCTATCTTATTCCATGGCCTGCTGGGACGACAAATGTCAAACTTCAAGCCAACTGGCACTATGCTAGTGAAGATGAAGATGTGCCTGATCTTGCTACTGAAGCAGATCGAGGTCTGCAGTTTATTGAAAGCCGCAGAAATGAAAGAGATCCATTTGGGTTGTACGATCATGTCATCATGGACAGTGGTTGTACAAACACCACCATTTGTAATGGTGAGCTCATGCATGGACTCCGTCATGCTGAGAAAGAACTTGACATGCACACTAAAGTGGGCAGCAGAGTTCTCGACGAAGAAGGTTTTCTAGGAAGATTTCCACCTCCAGTTTATCACGATGAAGATGGAATTGCCAATGTACTTACTATGCGCGAGATGATTGCTGCGGGATACCGCATTACTATGGATACTGATACTGACAATGCTTTTATTGTACATTGTGATGGAAACAGAAAGATGCGATTTGTGAATCGTAAGGGTGTATATGTGTTGGTGCAACTTGGAGCGAATGTCAAACAAGGTGCCAAAGAGACAAGTGCAATGTACCGTCGCCAGTTAAGCAACTTAAATAATCAACCCCATTTTGAACTTTCTTCAAACAAACAGAATGGATATGCTGGACTCAAGATGACCTCCAAGATGGCAACCGTTCAAAAGAACAAGGATGGATTCACTCCAAGACAAGTCATAGCTGCAATGGAAGCGAGAAGTGCGATGCACATACTCAATGCTTCAAGCAGAGTAGCTCTTGCACGATTACCCTACAAAGTCCCAAAGGTGATCACTGAATGTCTTGGACGTCGAGCCGCCGAGCTATTGAATGTCTTTCCCCAGAAAGACAGTATCTCATCACATTTCAGTCCACAGCAACTCATTGATAATGTCAGTATCAACTACAAGAGTGACATGGTTGCTGAACTTGGACAATATGTTCATGCAATTGGGACGGATTCCAGCAATTTGATGGAACCCCAAAGTATCAAAGCGATTTACATTGAACCTACGAAGGGACAACGTACTGGGCACCGAGTGCTCAACCTCAATACTAAGAAGATGATTTCCCAACCCAAGGTCGTTGTACTACCCGTTACCAACCAAGTAATCCAGCGTATTGAAGCTTGGGATACTGCCAAAGGTGTTACTTCCATGAAGTTCTTTGATAAGAAGAGAGATTTGGAGACATTTCAAGATGGCGATCAAGTTGCAGGAGTGGATGACACGGAACAAGGTTACTTAGAAGAAGCCTTTGATCAGGACTATGAACCTGAAGATGAAGATGAACGTGATTTCAATCTACATGGACAATTCAATGATATTGATGACTCCGAAAGAGAAGAGCTCTTGGCAGATGCAGACAATAATGTTGATGATATGCCAGAACTCACTGTCAGATTCAAAGGAGATGATGACTATGAATCAGATGACGATTTGGGTGATGAAGGCAATGAAGAGGAAAAACCTATTGTGGCCGATTTGGATCACCATCAAGAAAATGTTGAGAGAGGAATCAATGATATTGGGAGCCTCGTTACTGATCTGGAGGACTTACAAGAGCCGCCAGAAGAAGAGATTGTATTCGTTCTGGGCAAACGTATGCGCAAGCTGCAATGTCTGGGCTGAACCTTTCTCAAGTTCCAAAGAAACCAAGAGAATGGCCTTTGAGCAGGAGTGGCAGTTCTGCCAATAAGAACAAGGATTGAGTTGCAACAAGACGCATGTTGGATATATTAGGATTTTTGAAGTACATATTTGGAGAAACGAGAAAAAGAGAGTGAATTGGTTGATAGATCTATATACCTTTTATATACTGTAAATTCATATACTTAGAAGGCAACAATACCTGGACAGCTAAATTGCAGTCAATTGAACAGGTAGATTGCAGGCGGCAGTGGATTGCTTACTTCTAACATATATTATAAAAAGTCACTGAATTGAATTGGGAGTCGATATATTCCTACGACTTGAAAGAATAGGAACTTGCTCATGATGAGTGGACAATTTCAAAATACTGGACGTGGTTCCAATGGAAGAAATGCTGGACGAGGAAGATCGCAGTAAGGCCGAGGTAATGATCAATACAATGGAAATAAGAGTGGCAATGGTAGCCAGAAAGAGAAGAAGTTTCATCCTCTGACTAGAGGAAACATTCCCAAATTTAGCTTTGATGAAGTGAAGAAGACATCGGTGATTAAGAGACTGTTTTGGAGAAAACCAGTCACTTTTTGCACAATTGCACATCACAACTGACCTTTACTAAGACGTCAATAGTAGCGTACCAACACCCCAAAATTGCATTTTAGTGGTTGATCCAGCCTCTTTACATTGACACAAAACTACTACAACCTGAGAAGTGCAATTATTTTGTATAGTTAGTGAATAATTAGCCACTTGCTATGAGCCAGCAAATTTGAATCCTAAACATTTTCAGCAGCTACAAGTTCTTGAATTCTGGCCCTTTCTTCCTCTTCTCTAGCAATCCTGGCCTCTGCGCGTTGGTTGTTGCTCCCCTGTGAAGCCTGAATGCTAGTAGCAAACAGTTTGATGCAATTGAGTATTTCGGCAATCATCGAATCAATGCGAGACTTATCCAAATTCAGCTCAATCAATTTGGATCTCTTCTCCTCCATTTTCTTGTAGTTTGATCCAGGAATGTCAAACAGATAAAGCATACTCGTTAGGACCTGACTCTTGACACCATTCCGTACCTGCTTCCAGCGTTCCCAATAGTTTGAAGGATTCAATTGAACATACTCTTGGAACAACTTCATATGCTTTTCAAGTGAGTTCTTCCTCTCTGTACCGCTGATCTTACCATTCTCTCGTTTCTTCACTTCCTGGCTCTGCCACAAACCAATCTGCTCCTCGCTCAGGACACTTCCATTGGTTTGCAAGTGAGCCTTGGAAGAACAAAACTTCAGACCATTGTCCACAGGATCAATCTCCTGCTTCATCTTTGCCATTGTCTGACTTGGATTCAGTTTTGCTTCTAGGCCAAAACATTGCAGCAGGAAACCAACTTGGCCATCTGTCTTTGGATTAGATGGAACTATATCGGGCCTGTTGGAATATTGATAACAATGGGCAGCACCCACATGAGGTGAGTCCACATCAACGGGCCAAATTGCTTCAAAACGTTTGCAAGAGCGCCTATTGGGCCTGCTTCCCAGTTCAAAAGTTCCACCCGGTTTGCTTGCGTTGATAAGCAGTCAATCTTTGGCATTTATAGCAGGAAAGTCATGTTGATCTTTTTCCTTGTGTGTCCCCAATCCTTTCTCTGACAAAAAGATCCTTCAACAGTATCTTTCCGTTTCTGGACACTTATCATCACACAGAAACAGACCAGAATCCTTCTGCTGCTGTCTTCTGTCATTGACAGTATCTTGAATCTTCTTGCTTTTTGTCTTGGCCCGATTCTGCTGATTCTTAGAACGGACCACCTTCGAGTTTGGCCCTTCTCCTGGTCTGGACAGATGGGATTGCTTCTCTTGCTTTGCATTGGTGGTAGTCCAAAGGCTTGTCCAAGACGGCTTGCAAAGTTCAACAAGATCAAAGTTCAATCCGGTCTTTGAAGACAAATTTGTGATGTTAGTTCTTTGAATGCATCACTAAACATTTTGCACTTACCTCCGTGTCGTAGATGTCCACTAGTCTCGCTGTTTCTCCCTCTGGCATGTGCAAGACAAACTTTGAATGGAACAAGCGCTCTCCTGATCCAGAACCAGTATGCTTGAAAGCCATCAAAAATACATTGTTGATACCAGTGTTTGGAATGTCTTGACAAAGAGGATCCGTAGTTAGGATGCTGGAGCTGAACCTCTCCCCCTTTGCAAGCTCAATTGAAAGTTGGTTCTCTTGACTTGGCAGGTATCCAGCAAAAACAGTTGACAATAGGCCCCTGGATTGTTCGATGCAATCCAAAATGGTGTCTGAGTTGTAGTAGTGTCCACCATTGTCAACGGCAGTTGATAAGACAATGGACGTCCTGCCAAACATTCTGTCCAAATTTGTCTTTCCGTTGCCCGTGGGAGTGAGCCAAAACCTGATTTCCCTAATATTAACCCAGTGCTCCCAGAAAGGTTGAATTACACAATGAAGTTTCAATCTGAAACATCCAGCTCCATCAGCAACAAAAATTGTCTTCTTTACATGATCTGGGAGGTGATTCTCATAAACATAGGACTTGGCGCACGCTACTGCCCAATCGTCCTGACAGGCATCATTGGTAGCCAGCATTACAAACGAGACATCCTTGACTCCCTTCTCCTTCAATAAAGCATCTTCTGAATTTGTTACAATCATGAACCCAAGCATCGGAGTACCTTGCTTCCATTTTCTTTGGTTCTCTCGATAAAAGCAAGATATAATTTTCATCTTGTAATCGGAAGTGACAATGGCGGTGTCGTCTTCCAAGTTTTCCAACTCAGCCATTGCTTGTTCTTCTTCTGAAGTGTGATGGGCAAGATGACCTCTGTATTCTCGAAGGCTGGAGATACAAGTCTCGACGTCGCACTTGAGCTGGTCAAGTTTCTGCAGTTCCATGGGACTTGTGCCGGCTGCTTTTGCTGAGTCTTCCTTGAGTTGGATATCAGTCTTCATTTCTTGAAACATTGCAAATCCATGAACGCATCGCTTGCAACTTGGCAGGTGGCTGTGTTTCTGAGGACATTTGATGTCATCAATGTTATCTGGAGGTAAATAGGTAAGATTGGTTAGATACATCACTGAACGATAATGGCCATTGCATGCATTGATTCTCTCACCTTTGTCGCAGAATCCACAAGTCAAACAGTTACATTGATGTTGTGACACGGCCCGAAGGTGAGGCATGAAATCAGTGTTGTAATAGGTTTCTTGTGAATCCACCCTTTCCAAATACTCTGTTGCTTGTTCGCCTTGGTATACATCAGCAATGATGCCTCGGGCTTGAATCCAATTGCCCTGCCCTTTCAACGTCTTCACATCATCCAAGCCAGCCAATTTCAATATTTCTGGACCTGTGAGTGACTTGACTATGTCAAGGGCGGTGGTGAAGGAAATGGATCCCTCCCTTGTGAATCTGCATTTGCCTCCATGCTCCTTTGCATTCATGCATCTTCGATCTGCCCTGTCTCTTTGGGAGCAACGACAATCATCCGTTTCGTTTTCGGCGTTATGGATGTCAGAAATCTCATGCAAAGAGGCTTCCACTTCCATAATGTACTTTGCAGCGGCCTCCTCAAGCTTTGAGCGTAGAGACACATTGTCGATATCTACAGTTCCCATGCCATGGCCATTACAAATTTTGACAACTTTGTTCCCATATGCATATCTTTGTGTATTTGCAGGTGAGCTGAGGAATGTCATCAGCGCTTCTAATACAGCATGGGGGACTCTCATCCGACTGATTTTTTCCTTGACCACAGGCTGGTGTTCTCCGGGCCAGCATGCATGGATCTTGATCTTTGTCCACTTGTCGCTGGAAATCGATAGTCTTGTTGCTTCCTCCTGGCATCTTGAGAGGCGGAGAAGAGATTGGTTTTTGGAAGCGGGGTTGGCAAAGCTTGCCCTTCGTCTTCTTCAATCCTTCTCTGTTTGGCTACAACAGTGCCATTTTCAGTGATTTGTGTGCTAGTACTAGGAGCTGAAGGTGTCCGGCGAGTGATTGCTCGGGCCATGGATAGAATCTCGTCCAATGAAGCTGCTGCCTTGCCACATTGCTTCTTGGGAGGCGTTCGGGGAAGATCTGGATGCAATGCCAAGGGTGAGTTCTCGTTCGTCCTTGTGGATGATTCAATTGAAGCAGCCTCAATATGTTGCCTCTTGATTCTTGATCCTTCTTCAATTCCATGAAGTTGCTTTGTCTGGTTGTCTAGAGCCTTTTGTAAAACCTTGATCCAAAGTGCTGCATTTGCTTTCTGGTCAGGAGTTGATTCTGGAGCTGCTCCTACTACCATTTTTGTTGCAGCAAGTACCTTTTTCCCTGCTGCGTACAACATTTTTGATACTGCAGATTTTGAAGTCCCACCCCTTGACAGCGTCACTTTCTTTTGTTTGGTTGATGCCTTCATAAAACTCCTTCTTTTGACAGGGCATTTCAATAATTCTTCTATAAAGTCCTTTGACCAATGCTGACGCTTCTTTTTCAAGTTGTTCATCCTGCAATGACCGTCATTTTGGCTGTGCATCATCTGGTGAGCCCCATTCGACGGACAAGCGTTGTAATGATTTGTTGCTGAACGCCTTTGTTTGGATGACTGGTTCTCGCTGAGAGTATTTGGATCCTCAGAGATGGTCTGAAGATGCGGGTGTAATTGGAGGCATACACCAATGGTAGGTTCCTTTTTGTTGATTGCAAAGTAAGCGTAACCTCTCTGATCCATTTTCTTGCAGACTGAACACATATTTTCCTTCAAGATCCTTGTGCGATGTAGATTCCACAAGCAGGATTCTTTCTCGCATGGAGTACACCTTGTCATGATGAAGAAGCAAATAAGGAAGATGAGAAGACCATCAAATGGAGAAATGAAGATCTGATTTTGTAATAGTAAATGCTGGTAGCTACTAGGAGTAGTACAATTGTTGAAATTGTAGCCTTGCTAGACGTTTGAACACGTTTTGAATTGCCATGATTCCGTTGTGGTTGGAGTTTTTGTGAAATGTGAGCAACGGTTGCAGGCGTGGTGACGGTTATTGTAGTCATGCAATTTGAATCAGGTTTTATTAAAATCATAGTACATTTGCTACATACGCTATATAAACGGGGCGGGACCCCCAAATAATCTGACACCCCGGACAATCTCCCTTGAAACTCCCTGTCTGTTTGGCTGATCGAAAGTATTGGAAGGCCAGGAAGAATGCATTTGATAACAATAAACGCAATGTCTATGGAATGATTATGAAGATGTGCACCAATCATATGGTGGACAAACTTGAGCAAGAAGCTGACTTTGATAACAAACTGTTCAATGATCCTGTGGAGCTATTGATGCGGATCAAGAAATTTATGACGACTACTGTTGATACAGAATGGGAATATTTTGGTCTGTGGAAGACAATGAGCAATCTGATTAATTGCCATCAAAAGGAGAAGGAAAACATTGCAAGTTTTTGTAAACTATTTGAAGAAAGGGCAAAGGCATTGCAAGCTTTGCTTGGTGATGATTTTTTGGACAAATTTACTGAGAAGAGTCAGGAATATGATTTATTGGGAAGCCATGCTGAACGATCCCAACACAAGAAGGAATCATGGGAAAGATTCATGGCCACCGGATTTCTGTATAATTCTGATAGAGCCAAGGATCAATCAAGAATTGATGGAATGACGGCGCAGTACACGTTGAAGCATCTGGACTTCAAACAATGTTGTACATTTCCAACTACTTTGGAAAATGCTGCTGATGTTTTGAATCAACACAAGCACAATAACAGGAAGAAGAATTCGAATGGAGGAAATTAGAATGGACAAGGGAAACAAAACAAGTCAAACAACAATCAAAATGACGGAGCTCAGTTTTTGCAACAACAAACTCGAGCGTGTTTTGTGTGCGGATCAAAAGATCATGTCGCACCTCAATGTGCGGACAAATTGAAGCCGCGGGAACAGTGGAAAAACCTGGACAAATATAGGGATTATTCGGACGCGAGTGGTTGTGGTAATTGACAGAATATGCAACGTGATGAAAATGCAACGCGTGATGATAATGAATCAGGAGATTCAAACACTCAATGGAACTATGGACGTTCCAACAATGGATCCCATGGAGGACAAATTATTCAACAAGGACAAACTGACAATCATCCAAGACAACAAGGGATGATGTTATTTCAACACAACAATACTGGTATCCACTTGGATAGTGAATCTACTTTTCATTTGCGAACCAATGAAGATGACTTTAAAGAAGGAAGTGTACAAGGAATTCATGGAGGATTCCATTATGCCTCTAATGTTGAGGGCAGGGAACTTCAGATAAGGCATTTGATTCTGTTTGTAAGCTTGACACACAAGCTAGCGACAACATCAACAGTTTGTCAAATATGGTACAAGATGGATTTGATGTATTTATGGACACAAAGAGAGAGAACAGTTTCTTTGTGATTAGAAACGGGACTACATGGCAATTCGGACATCACAATGGATTATATACTTTGGTTGACAAACCTGCAACGGTAACAACAATGTTTCATGACCATGCACATGGACGTGATAATAATGATGTGCAAGGGTACTGTGCTCTACAGAGTGTGGAGAAGAACAAAGAGGGTTTCACAAACAAACAAGTGAAACAAGCAAATGTTGCACAAAGTGGCTATCATACGATGGGAGCACCTGGTGCAGAACTATTCAAGTTGGCGATTCAGGGAAATTTTTTCAAAATTGTCCAATTACGGAGGAAGATGTTAATATCTCTGAAAAGATATATGGACCGAGCGTTTCAACAATTACAACCAACACCAAAGGCAGTGGTTGATGATTGGATCAAAATGCCCAAGGAACTACTGAAACACAATTCAAACCTGGATTTATGCATTGACATTATGTTTATCAACAATGTCGCGTTTTTTGTCAGTATGGACAAAGCGATCAAATTCCGATTCAGTACTGAACTGAAAGATCGGACAAAAGATGCTATGTACAAGTCGATTGACGAAATTTTACGCATAAAGAGTTGAAATACAATCTACTATTCCAACAGGTTGGAAGTGACAAGAAAACCAAATATGGAAAAGATAAGGCAACTCTGATTGCGCGATTCATGCAACAAATCAAGGATAAAGTTCAAAATGAAGGAGTATTGTTTATCCAACAAAACTACCTAAATAAGGGACTGAAATTATTCAAAGAAGAAGGTAATAAGGCTGTGATGAAAGAACTTGACCAATTGATACAAAGAGAATGTTGGGAACCAATTCATGTTGAAGACATGACTGATTTGGAAAAAAGAAGAGCCCAAGATGCTATGATGTTATTAGCAGAGAAAAACACTGGTGAAATAAAA